GCCGATTCTTTCACCTGATGCTCTGTTCACCTAACAGAAGTAGGTACCTGGGAATTAGACACTTGTTACTGGCAACTTCCTGGGGGATATGTGTGTGTAAGAGAGAAATGTATGTAGTAGACATAATAGAGGAAAAAAATAATTAATTAGAATTGTTCGATTCTGTAGGCACAAATAGTAAATACACACAAATCAGTATAATTACATGACGGTATACAAAAATCCAGCAAGGGGGGGGGGTCTAACTGCCTGATTGTGGACAGTCATTTACAGGGACGCTGTGTCTACTCACCTAGTTGTGCTTGCGGGGTTGAGCTCTGGCTCTTTGGGCCCGCCTCTCAACTGTTACTCAATCAATTGTTTTTCTTCCACACACACACACACCCAGGAAGCAGTCCGTAGGAGCTGTCTAACTCCCAGTACCTATTTACTGCTAGATGAACAAAAGCATCAGGGTGAAAGAAACTCTGCCCATTTGTTTTCTCCTCCGCCGGGATCGAACTTAGGATTACAAAATCCGAGCGCTGTCTACTCAGCCGTCAGGCCCCGTGTGGGGCTTGGAGTGACCGCAAAGTTATCCGCGTGGCCAAACATTAAATTAACGTGGTTCTGCTCTCGTCTTACCTTTATAAAGTATACAAATACTAAGTAACCACCGTAATCTAATCCTTTGTATTTTTTCTACAATCTACATAAAGTATTACTGTTATTATTAGCTAAATTATTGATCTATGTGAACTCCCTTATCATTGCAGATGATGGGAAAGTTTTGAGAAGAATAAACAATGAGACAGGACGTCTTAAAGGTGGCTGCTAGAGATTTAATTCCAGCAAGTGCAATGTAACTAAATTTGGTTCTAGGAGGACAGGAAGCCTCACTCAAGGTATACTCCGAGAAGTGTGGTAAATCTTTTAGTGTATATATATATATCCCATTTATTTACTATTGCTGGTTTTGTGTTTCTTGAGGCCTATCAACCGCTGGAGGCTTATTTAGGCCTTGACAATAGCCTACCGACCAATCAGCTAGATTAATCTAGGCCAGAACAGAGTTCATGACGAAAGCAAACATTTAGAAAAACTTAAGGAACTATGTCAAGCCGCTGGCTTCATGTCCCCGCCGAAGTCACAATAGAGATTGTGGCCTCGGCGGGGTTGACAACGTTTTCCCCCGTATAAGCACTACTATAGTTTTTTTTATACATACATATTTCTATACATATACATACAACCCAACAACCGGTTTACAACAGGTTAAAGGAAACATTGTATATTTCCATCAAATTTGATAAAGCTATTACAAGCTAAACATTATTTACAATTTAATATAATTATTACAATAATAAATCATAGTAATAATTACTTAAAATAGGTATAATAATATATAAATTAAGGGTGTGCGTGGCGACTTACCTTATAACGATACAGAAGACTCCGTGTGAGGTGTACCCATATACCTTCCACTGTAGTCAGTAGGTATTGAGCTCAATGTGGGCTTTATGCACTCTACTATAAACTGACACTTGCACCAATATATTTTTTACAGGCTACTTTAGCTGTATTTAGAATACAATTGTTCCACGGACACTGTACGGGACTGGAGGTGGAGGCGCGGGTGGAGTCCTGTCAGTAGGGAGACTTATGCTGCTGCTTGGGACCTGCTCCTGCCGCCACGCTCTCTCGCTGCACACTGACGCTATACGCTCCTGCTCCTCTTCCTGTATGCTGTCTGCTGCCACTGGTGTTGGCAACACGTGCAGTCACGTATGCTGTTTGCTGTTACTGGTGTTGGCAACACGTGCAGTCACGCATGCTGTCTGCTGCCACTGGTGTTGGCAACACTTGCAGTCACGCATGCTGTCTGCTGCCACTGGTGTTGGCAACACTTGCAGTCACGCATGCTGTCTGCTGCCACTGGTGTTGGCAACACTTGCAGTCACGCATGCTGTCTGCTGCCACTGGTGTTGGCAACACTTGCAGTCACGCATGCTGTCTGCTGCCACTGGTGTTGGCAACACTTGCAGTCACGCATGCTGTCTGCTGTTACTGGTGTTGTTGGCAACACTTGCAGTCACGCATGCTGTCTGCTGTTACTGGTGTTGTTGGCAACACTTGCAGTCATGCATGCTGTCTGCTGCCACTGGTGTTGGCAACACGAGTAATAATACATGCTGTCTGCTACCACTTCTGTTGGCAATACATTCTGTTTGCTACCATTGCTGTAGGCAATACATGCAGCAATAATTTGTTTTGTCGGGGGACAGCCAGCCTGTGTACATATATACATTAGGCTTATATCGAGGTCCCCAAAGGTCGAACTAACGACCCTTCCTAGGATGCAAGCCTACAACAATTGACTAACTCCAGGGGTACCTATTTACTGCAAGGGGAAGTAAACTATTTACTGCATAGTTTCTCTCAGTATTAGCATCTCTTAAATCATTGAGGATAAAACCAAATATGTTTCTAGGTACCTTGCAGAACTATTTTGTTGAGACTAAAAGTCGACAGGACTAATGCTGGTTATAAAGATGAGCTTGAATAGCCACCAAGATGTTCTAAATTCTTAACTTCAGTTTAGTAAACACAAGATTTAATCTTTAATGTTGTATAAAGCATACTTTTTATAGAACTTGACCAATGAAAGCATATAATCACTTCCTTCTTTATTTATCAGTTACAGCATGGTAAGGGTCCAGGATGAACTGACATTGTATTACTTTCCTTCCACTAATATGTGTGGATAGTTAATTGTTTTCAGTAGGGTTACTGTGCCTTATGCTCTGCAATGTATATACATCTTCAAGAGAAACCTAAAATTCCAATCGAGCAGTTTTGATGAGGGAATGGAATGATCAGACTCTGGGCTGAAGGTATACTTTACCTATACTGTACTTGTCCTTAATTCCTTTCAAAGATGGAAAAGAAAGGATTGATTTGGAAATAGAGAAAGCTGATCTCTTGCAAGTGTCATTCTTTACTTTTCAATATTGTAAACTGGATAATCTTGAAAATGTAGTTTTGTAACTGCAACATAAGGTGTAGAGCTTCTTAAAGGGCTTAGAGTTTGCTTAGGATTTAGGTAACTACAGTATTACACTATAATTCTACAAATATAAATTATAGTTGATATTATTGCAATGAAGTTTGTTAGAATTGTATGTTTAATAAAATTATAAAATAAAGTACAGATATCTTTGTGATCACTACTTTCCTTGCACGGATCTTTCATGACCCTAATTAGTAGTAAGTACTGAAGGTAAATATGGCATAAGTGCTGTGCTGTTGTTAAAACTAAAGATGTAATTTTTTTACATAAGTTGAAGCTTTAGGCTTGATCATTGTAAAATAAAACTGAAGGATGTTGCCATAATGCTTTACTTTTAATAGTTTGTTTTGTGTATAGTTTCATATTACATTAAAATGAAGAAGTTTTGCAATATATTATGTATTATGATTAATTATCAGTTCAATGTTGTAATTTATTTGCCTCAAACTGCTGTTGTTAATGATGTTGCTTAGTTTGAATGGTTAGTTTATGCACATTATAGAGGCTGTAGTTGGCACTTTGAGATCCATAAATCTGGGTAGACTTAATAGTAAAAGCTAAAAATTAAAGGAAAAATACTCTTAAATATTTGTAATGAGTATCATGTAAAGTTTACAGCAGTATAAAGCAAGCTGAGGACAGCCCAATGCTCCTGCAATGTGCTGTATTCAGCACATTTTAGCAGCATTTTCTGCAAGATGTAAAAAGAAACATTTCAAGTGCAAATTTCAATTTGGTTAAGAATAATTTTAGGAGTTAAATATAAGTGATTATCCAAGTGCAAAGCCAGGATGCTGTCGCATAACAGTTGCACGAGTTCCTATACAATCCAGATGGCAATACTGTACCACGATCACACCTATTACATTATTAAACCTCTTTCTTATTCTGCAGCAGCAGTTTTTAATGGAATGGTTGATATTTGGGAAAGTTATGGAAATGTGAATTATATGGTGTTAATATTTTGTTAGTTGGCACACTGTTAAGTCGAGTATTGAGAGTAAACACAATACTGACTGCCAATTCATTAGTAGGAAAGAAACTATTCATGTTGGATTTTAATGCCTAATGCCTTAAGTATTTTTAATGTTTAAACATTAGTTGACAAAATGGGCAGAAAAGACAATGTGCATACAGGGTTAATATTAATATTTGGGTGTTTTAAAATGTTGAAGACAAATGCTCTTAAAATTTTCATTTCAGCAAAATCATAGTTTATAATATTTTTGAACTGGCTCTAGTTGCATACAGTTTACCATTTAACCAGTAGTATGTAATTGGTCCTCTGATTTACTGTACTATGAATGGTTTTCAGTGCTACAATATGACTGGTCTTCAGTACAGTTTGAAGCAGCCATAAATTTTAATTTAAAATTGTTATCATTAGATCAAAATAATTTACCGATATGCAGACAAAAATATGTCTTCCCAAAAATATCAATACTGCACCATGATTCACATTACCCTCAATGGGATGCATTTTTTTAAAATTATTGTGATTTAAAATGCAGTGAATACATACTGAAGGAAACAATAAATGAACGCTAACTAGCAATTTTTTATTCCTAAAATCTCATACACTCGCAAAAACTTCCATGTGCATTTAATGTTTTATGTTTACTTGCATTTAAATTGCAATAAAGTGAAAATTAGAGGAAAACTCAATTTTGTAAATGTTAAGTATGGCCATGTTTAATAAAAAGGTAAGCCAAAACCAGCTGGTATATGTATTAAAGGAGGTCTATACTGGAAGTCAATGATATGGATAATACTGTGTAAGTAATAATCAAAAGCAGGCACCAAGCCAGCAATACTATTTGCACTGTGTGTATTGGTGGCTATTCAAAGAGAGACTAAACATCACTCAGGATCCCAATACAAGAGCAAAAAGACATACGGTGAGCATCATTAAAGCCATCATATTTCCCAATGGATAATATAAAAACGACACTGAATATACCTTCTTTATTAAATAGTGTTGTAAAATGATAAACAAATATTCAAAGATGAGATATACAGTACTTGCTATTATCATCCCATACAAATATGTAAAATGTTATATAGGGAAACCACTGAAAACAAACACACTACTCTGCAATACTGTACTTACATGTAAAATAAAGTGTAGTGCGTTTATATAATTTTAACGTCGTTTTTGACCACCACCTCTTCCATGCTTCTTTCTACCAAAATTCTCTCTATTGTCATTTTGCTTATTACGGTTGGCTTTATTTTTTGACATTTTGGATCTCTTCTTTATCTTATTCTGCAGATGCTTCTTACGTTCATTTTCTTTTCTCTTTGTCTCTTTTATGATTTCATCTTGAGTTCTGAGCTCTCTCCTAGGTGGTCGCTTAGTCTTGGGTCCTTCCTTGCCTCGGAGCAGGGGGTGGGCCTTCCCCTCAGATCTTTTGCTGACAGCTGTTGTTTATAATATATAAAGAATTTAAGCATAAAATAAAGATGAGAAATTACATGAATTTCATAATATTGTACCATTCTATCATATCTACAATACAGTATTCTATGTGCATAGAAAAGCAATTACTTGACTCTTTCAATTAAAACATAAAGAATACGGCAATAATGAACTGAATGGACAATTATATAGTGTAGCACTGGGTGCAAAACTTTCATATATATAAAAAACATTCAGCAGTGCAATGACCTCAAAGATATATTTGTCTAACTTATGAAATGCTCTTATACTGTAGCAATACTCTCAATGCACATGACCAACATTACCACCATAGCCTACTGGCTGAGCATGGGGTGCATGGTATGCCAATTACAATTATATGTAAGTATATGTAACTACTTTGTAATAAAATATAATGCTTACCTTTAAGATCATTGGGTTCTAATACCTGAACTCATTATGTGAGTAACCTTTTTGCCACTTACCTACAAGATGGATATGTATAGGGTCCTTAATATATGAATTAAATTACAGTAAATCTATTTTTAACTGAAATCATTTGCCCTTGATGCTGCTAATTATGTCAGACCAGAAACTTTTCAAATACAGTATCTTTATCATGATAAAAATCTATCTGTACAGCTCCTTCCCTCACTTAACCCACTCCACTTACTGGTAACATTATGCACCTCTGTCAAACAGAGGCGTACCCATGTACTAGTATTGGTTATAGCGGCCTATGTTTGTTGAATCTGTAAAATTTCCATCTTGTAGCTTCTCCACACATTCATTCAATTGATTCCAGAACACTCCCATCTCATTTTTTTTCTATAACATTCTCCTTATGCATTGGAGCATAAGCCCTCAAATACATATCGTTCATTACCACCTTACATTAAAATCTACCACGTCCTTGAATTATTGCTCATTTCCAGGACATAATATACTCTTTCATATACAGTACATGTATATACAAAGCCACTCTTTCCATCTCTCAACCCTATATATATATATACAGGTATATAACTTTCTTTAATACCCAACCACACAACTATTCGCTGAACTCTCCTACCACTTCAATTGTCCACTGTTCTTACATTTACCCTTCCCATTACGACTGTGTTTCATTCACGTGTAACACGTCTTAGATACTGGATTGACTATGTGACTCCAGTAATGGATTTATATAATGTTTACTAAATCCAAATTATAAATAACTACACATATTAGCCCTTATGGTTATTTATGCTGGCACTAAGGTTCATAATTCTGAACTGACTTAACACTTTCGCTCACCCCGCGCGCCACCCCTCGACAGGGCGATATGGGCCCCAGCGTGTCACGGAAGCGCGCGTTAATTCCGAAAAGTGTATACTCTCTTCAACTTTGTCACCTCAATTCTCCTTCTACGAGAATAAATTTGGTATCATTGTGTTCGCAATAAAATTCTCTACAGCACTAAATGCATATAAACTCCAAAAGCCCGGCTAATTACCCGCAGCAAACAGAGAAAGTGCGAACGAGTTACCCGGGAGCGCGCAAACGGGATAAAATGTTTTCACTATTTTCACTCTGGTCACCTCAATTTTTGTCCTAGGTCTTTCATTTTGGTCTCAATGGGTTCGTAATAAAATTCTCTAGAGGAACATTAGCATATAAAAAAAAACACCTGGTCACGCTCCAACCGCCGACGAGTTGAAGACGGGCCACGCGTTAGCCGTGAGTGAGCGCTCAGAGGCCTTCCTACTACACTCCCAATTCCCACCCTTTTCAAGCCTTTCTTTCGCAATTTTCTTCCTGGAAGGGCCTTGTTCATGATTACTATCCATCGTGGAGTAAGCGTAGATAGTTTCTAAAGCCGCAGTAAGAAATATAGCCACGGAAAATAGCCGAAATGTTCACACGTTTGAGATGCGAGGGGAGACGACATTGGTCACAACAGTGGAGCAAAGACAATGGGCCCACGGCGTGTGCCAAGCCGCCTGAGGGCCACGAGGCTCAACAAAGGAAATGGGAAGACATCGGCGCACATTTTAAAACCAGTCCCCAAAAAATCGGATACAAACCTGATTTTTGGCGAATTTTTAAAGTGGATGACGCAATGCTGCGTCATCCCCGGCATTACCGCCAGTAAACGGATGACGCAATGCTGCGTCATCCCCGAGCGAAAGTGTTAATATGTAAAAACGCATAAAAGAAACATCTTACTTTTGAATTTCCTGTTTCCTCTTCCATTTTTATCAATATTTCCAGCTTCATTCTCATCATCACTGCTCTCTGCATTCTTCTTCTGGCCCTTTTCTATCCATTTCTCATACCTGTTAGTCTTGTAAGATGCTGGAATCCATACACCAGACTCTGTTTTTATTCTTTTCTGCTGATCCTGTAAATATGAAAAGTAAACTTAATATTTAAAGTAAACCATATACAAAACAGCTGAACAATGTTGACCAAACCACACACTTGAAAGTGAAGAGACAACGATGTTTCAGTCCGTCCTGAACCATTCTCAAGTCGATTGTGAATGGTCCATGACACAATCGACTTGAGAATGGTCCAGGACAGACCGAAACGTCGTCGTCTCTTCACTTTCTAGTGTGTGGTTTAGTCAACATATTTCAGCCACGTTATTGTGACTCCTCGTCTGCATTTGAACAATGTCACTATATTTACTTATATCAAGATGCCTGAAGTGATACATGAGGGGGGGGGGGGGGTGAATATCAATAATCCATAGAATGAATGCTAAAACATAAATATAGATGATATTTTGTCAGCTTAATTAGATAACATATTGTATGGATTTGTGCAATTATTTTACATGTATGCTGGCGAAGGATGTTTGTAACCGACAATAACCAAGAGTTTCTTGTTTGACAAGAGGAGATCTAATGAAACTAGTTTAGAGGGTAAAAAAACACATGCCCATAAAACACATATTTGGACCACACCCTGTTGTGACTCGGCTAACAAAACAAAATTAATCGTGTGTGGGATTGTGTACTAATGTTTATTTTACCTCATCATAATTCATTTATACCTTATAAGTACTGTTGCTAATGGTCGGAATGATCTTGGCTATATACAGATATTATTTACTAAGAATGAATCTGAGAAACTAGAAGATGATAGAATAGAGCAAGGAAAAAGCATGGAAGAAGGTCTTAAGCCCTTAGAAAATTAAAGAAATGTGAAGGGTGAATGAAGAAAGAGCAAATCAAACTGCCAAGTTTAGTTGTGATGTCTGCATTTTTTATGGGCTTGGCAAGTAAAACTTAAAGCAGTCAAGACTGGAGTATTTTAAGAAGAGTAACAGTACCAAGAAAATAAAACAAGGTGGGAGAGGGCTATCCAAGATGACAAACCTGGAAGAGAGAAATTAAGTGTCTGTTGAGATAATATAGATAAATTAATTGATTGAGAGAGGAGAGAGTGCTGAAGAACACATTCTCCCAGTATGAAACTCTGTCCAGCTGGAAATGGAGGGTTAATAGACAAAAATTTGTTGAATGTAATAAAACATCCCTTTTCCCAGGGTTCTTACAGAGGCTTCCTGTTGCTAGCAACTTGTACAGCTCCACCCAATTCGATTTGTACCAGGCTCTTGAGAGTCATTAGAAACCTACTGGAGACCAGAAAACAGGAGAGGATGGAGAGTGGGATGACTTTTTATACCGAAAATATTCCAATTAGTGAAAATGGCGATGGGCCACATTTTGCCCAAACCCCCTTACAGTTTTCAAAATATCGGAAATAATGCAAAACTGACTCACGAGCGTGACTTTTTAACCGAATTCTGGCTCGCTGCACCTATTTGGAGTTTGAAATTACGAAGATTTATACCGAAAAGATGCCAATTAGTGAAAAACTGCAATGGGTCACACTTTACCCAAACCCCCCTACAGTTTTCAAAATATCGGAAATATCGCAAATATGACCCATGAACGTTATTTTTTAGCAGAATTCTGGCTCACTGCATGTATTTGGAGTTTGAAATTACGACTTTTTATACTGAAAATATGCCAATTAGTGAAAATGGCAATGGGTCACATTTTGCTTCCCCCCTCCTACAGTTTTCAATATATAGGAAATATTGCAAATCTGACTCATGAGCGTTATTTTCAAGCCGAATTCTGGCTCACTGCACATATTTAGAGTTTGAAATTACGACTTTTCATACCGAAAATATGCCAATTAGCAAAAGCGGCAATGGGTTACATTTTGCCCAAACCCCCCTACACATACACACACACAGAGACAGGGAGAAGGAGGGATGGGGGGGAGGGACACGAGACCCCACCCACTGAGGCAGAAGATGTTTCCTACATAAACAGAGATGCAACGACTACCACTGCATCACAGGTTCCAGGATGATAGAGATAAAATCATCCACAGACTGTGTAGCAGACTTAGTAATATATATATCTGTAATAAAATTGATAGTTATCCTTCATACTAGCACCACAACAAGTGCGGATTTGCAGGGCCAGACCACGATGAACCCTACCAAAATGTACAGGGGGTTTCCAGATCACAAAGGATTGGCCAAGCAGGAAGCAATGGGAATGTGCTGCTTGCTGAATGTAGCTTAGAGGCATAGACAGTTGAAAAAGGCATAAGCAACATGCCATAAAATATGCACACGAGCATCTTGTGTGACTCTTAAATGCAGAAAGCCCAAAGTGCTCCTATCTACAAGCCTCACAGAGGAGTCAGAGATCTGTGCACTACTAATGGCAAGGTTTCCTCCACAAGGAAGATTGCACTCTCAGGAACAACCACCCAAACCCACCAAGGAGGATAACTCTGGCTGGGTAATAGCAACACCAGTAAGCACCTAGAAAAGTCAACTCTAGATGTATACAGCTCAAGGTAAACAATAAGTCAAAGTTCACACAGGAAATGAGGTATGAAACCACACACGTGAAATAAATACTACAATATAAAACTCACACACAATCAAATGGGCACCCACAGCACAGAGTCCAAAGGATGCCCGACACTTATCTGGAAAAACAAGGACTTGGGGAACACAAGCATGAATGGGGAGCATAAGAGACGTGTTAACATGTCACACCAGACTAAATGACTGACAGGTTGACTGGTGAACTCCGGCGTCTGGGTGTGCTGCTGCTGCTGCTGCTACTAGCCAGTGAACTACCTAATGATGTGGTGGATTGTTTCAGCATCTTATTTCGCCCTGTGTGTACCTTGCTGTTGTCTGTATTGTCTTACTCTATATTTGTGGTGCCTTTTCTTGGTCTGAGTGATCTCATATCATCAGCTACCTGTACAGTGGGCCAGGTTTTGGCCTCTGGTGCCCAGTAAGCTTACAATGAATTGTATGGGCCTGGTGTTAATCAAATTGGATGGAGCTATCCAGGTTGCTAGTAACTGGAAGCCTCCATAGGAGCCCTCCCAGAAAAGCATTTCTGAAAATGGACGGTTAATAAAACTACTATTCCCATTATATTTTTTGTTTTCAAAAGAGAATGGCTATACTGTACTGTACTTTAAATAAGCACTTTAAATATATTGAAGTAATACAAATAAAGTAATGAATGTCATAAAATCCTCACCTGTGTACCAACAAATCTCTTTTTGTTCCGATTCCACTTATGCAGCTTGTTACTCTGTCTTTGTCTCGAGTCATCGTCTTGCGTCAGTTCTACAGATACTTTATTTGCATCCATTTGGAAGCTTGTGCCTAAGGAGTACCTGCAAAAGTAAAATTTGTCAAATGCATAACTAACTTTTCATAATTATGTATTTATAATTTTGTTTGAATTATATATTTGTAAAATAGCACAAAATTCTACCCACTTACCCTTTTTCAGCAAAATCATCTCGTGAGTATGGTAAATAAAACTGTTTGTCTTTGAAGTCTTGATTCTCTTTACTTTTCATTCTTTTAGTTTGTATTTGATGCCCATTCTCGGCTGCAATTTTCCTTTTCACACCATTCTTAACTCCCGGAAGCTCAGTATGTTGATTATCGTCCTTCTTTTTTCTTTGGCCCACAATGGACGAAAATGTGTTCTTTACCTCCTCTTCAGTACTTTGCTCTAACTTCTTCAAATCCTCTGTTATCTGAGAAAGTGGCAATAATGTGAAATATTTATTACTGAGAGTAGTGTTTATTAATTTGTGGCAGAGAACAGGATGTATACTGGTTATGGCATTGGTGTAGTGGCAGGAAAAGAAGTGGATGTGATGTGGCACGCTAGTGGGGCAGCAGCCAACTAGCTTCTAGTCGAGACAATGATGTAGAGGGCAGCACTATGGTTTACTTATGGCTAATCTCGAGTGCTGTTCTGCGGAACCCCCGCCTGAGTTTAGACGTCATTGGTATATATACAGTACAGGTTATTGCCATATCAGCCAGGCTATTGCTGGTTGCTGTTGAGCTCCCATAGACCTCACAAGAACCAGCAAGAACTTCTCAGGCTCCCTCTTGAAGAGTTGGACCAATGTTAAAGCCATATATCTTTTATTTGCTAATAAAAGGTGTAAGAAGTATGGGCCTGTGATGTTGGCAGTATTCTCCTATTGCACTTCCGATTCATCTATCTTTCACTAGGGTGAAATTACAATGAGTAAATTTGATTAGGATTTCTTATTATGAAATTAAATCCATGTATTGAAAGTTAATTTTCTTTTACTGAAAGCCTTTGATGCAAAAAAATTCAGGAAAGTTGATGAGTATAGTAGTTTTAAAGAAAGTGTTTTCAATGCATATTTAATTTAACAGATAGATTATGAAATAGTTGTATGAAAAAATGTAAAAGGTTTAGGTAACATTTGGAAAAGGTCAGGGGACAGTTGAAGTAAGGTTAGACTGCCTCAAGATTAGCCTAACCAAATCTATGGATTAATACAGAAAGAAAATAATCTAAACCAAATTTGAGGTCGGAGAATAGTAGCAGACATCTTGATCTAAGGTTCCCGTAATTAAAAATTGCAAAATGGTATTAATTTACCTCTCAGTGGTGCAAATCTCGTATCACCATTTTCTAGGCCTCTACCTCTCTGAACTTCCGTCAGCTTACTTCACACCATTTTTCAAGTCACGAGTGTCTTTTCCCCAGCTTGTAGCACGAAGCTTATACAAATCAGAAATACCACCAGCAACATGCAGGCAGAGCCCCCCCAACTGTTGGGAGGCGGAGGATGGCACCTCACACACTCGTCTAGCACATGTTAGCACACACAAGAGCTTACAGTTGAGACCTATCTGCTTGCTAAGTTGAAAGGCCACTCTCAAACATTATGACCCAGATAGAGGTTCATTCTTTAAATGCTTCACAGCATGCATGCCAGTTAATTTGCTTGTCTTTTGTGCCTATTCTGCTATGGCTTTGTTTCCCTGACTCCTACAGCAGAGACTGATTGCCAACAGATATCTTCCGAGGGTTTTTTTGTTTTGTACCTTCTGAATATGTGTGTTGAGACAGACTTGTGCCAAGTAGTGCTTTGAGACTTGGGCACTGAAGTGAGATTCTGAGGCAGGCGTGACATGGTGTGTGATTGTTGTTTTTTTTACTTGCTCCAGCTCCCTTTCAGGGGTTATGGGGCAGAGATTTTGCACTGGTTGCTGGGGTTACACTTGGGAGAGACATCTACTGATTACAGTATTTCATTTACCTTCTGTGGCTACACAAGGTAAGGTAGGTAGGCCTACATCCTTTCTCATCAGTGTTAGATTGGGTTCTGTCTGAAGACCTTATAGGACATCTCTTGCTAAATGATTTTTCCTACTAGAGTGTCATCTAACACGGAACTACTAGTTTTTTAAGGATCAGGAAAGTTGTTTACCTCATTTTCCCTGTTGGTAGTGTTGCAATGGATCTTCTACCCACTTCAGAGCCTAACTTTAATATTACTTATCTCCACTGAGCTGCATATTTTTTGTCCCAGGTAGGCTAAGCTCAATTCAGAAAAGAAAAAAAATAGGGTACAAGTTTTGCTAATCACACCTGGTCATTCCACTGGGTGAATGCTGCACCTGGTTGGGTGGAGATATTAAGTTGAAGTAGAGAAAAAGGAGGAGGAGGATGAGGAGGAAGGAAAGAATGATTAAGAGAGAGAGAAATATAGACAAAATACAGTAATAACAAAATAGGAAAACAGGATCAACAACACACCTGTTTTGTTGCCACTTCCTTTTCTTCCCTGGAAGCCTGCTGCATCTGCACATTTTTGTGGAAGGTATCGATCCTTTTGCTGTCATATTCTCGCTTTTGTTTCATGTTATTTACCACATGAACACTGTCACTTTTATGTGTTTTCATCATTTCAAACACAGTCTGAAATAATATAAATGGATTTATTTAAAATATGAGAAGAAACTTACAAAACCTGCAGTTTTTCACAGAATACTTTTTACTCATGATCCAAAATGTCTAATTAATGTGTACAGTATATGCTATAAAATATTTATCTTAATTGTGAAATACCACTTGATATTTAATTTATTTCAAAGGAAAATTATGACAACAAAGAGATGTAGATAAAGCAATCTATTATACAAACACAAAATCATAATTTCAACTAAAAGTGACAGAGAACGAGCTTAAAATGCACCCTCTCTGCTAAATACCAACCCAACCTCAAAAATTATAATAATTATGTATAAAATGCTGTTGCAAAAAAGTTCTAATGTTGCCTAGGCCTGACACACACAGACTTAGGCCTAATGTAAAATATGTACTATACTGTACAAGACCCAGGTTAGGTTAGGTAATTTCAAATTATTTTACCAAGAACAGAAAATTAGATTATTATTATTATTATTATTGAGAAGATCCGTAGGAGCAGCAATAAGGGTTCAAACCTACGTGGTGGATGTTCCCACGCATACGCTCTAGCGACTAGACCATGACATGGTATAAGGATTGCAACCTGAGTTCTACTAAGTACAACTACTTAGCAATTAGTTCTACTTTAGTTCTACTAAGTAGTTCTACTTTAGTAGAGTTCGAGGTTGCAATCCTTATACCATGTCATGGTCTAGTCGCTAGAAGTGTGTGCATGGGAACATCCAGTTCATAGGTTCGAAACCTCATCACTACTCCTACAGATTTTCTCATTGTTGACGTCACGTTAGGTGTGTTTACTCTGTATGTATTATTATTATTATTTACAGTACCAGAATGTATCCAACAGTATTCTGCTAGACATTCCTCATCAAAATCTTGTTGAATTTCCAAACATGGCAACTAATAGAAAATTGATTATGACATCTTCAATATTTATTTAGTAAATATAAAAAAGTTCCAATTTTATTCACTGACAATTGAAAGGGTAATTAACTACACAAACTTTGCTAAGTTTATGCTCTCGTTTAAAACCTACAAGTAAAATAATGTAATAAATGAATAACATGAATAAAGCAACAGATTCATAAAGCAACATATATACAAAATGTTATAGTTTATATTACTGATTTAGGCTGAAGTTTTTTCAGGGTCACCAACATTTCCAGACGACGCTCTTCCATATCAACATTTTCGTCAACCAGAAGAGGATGGAAGCCAAGAGTGCAGACCAAATGATTCTCCTTCATGCGTTTAATGCTTTCGCTGCTGGGGGCTGGCCGAGACTTAACATACTGCTTGTACGCATTACCAACCACTTTCTTCATATTCGTCTGAAATTTTTTGTTTAATTAATGTTCAGTACAGTATACACGTTCAAGCATGTGGATTATGTAACAAAAGTATCTGATAAGTTAACCATTAACAGTAGCAATTTTCTTTCTTGAGAAGGACAAAACAATGACTTCACTGACCAGGAAATCAACAAAAATAATAAGGTACAGTATCGAGCACAGTTAAAGCACTTCTTTCCAAACCAGTCCCTCAGATGCTCCTTGAGCCAGAGCCAATTTGGCTGCTCACCAGGACATACATCCCTTCACTAGGTAGGCACACTACTGAGACTACATCATACATGTGCTCGGTGTTTCTGGTGGACATAATTTTCATTGTGGACAAAGCACCAAGATGATGACAGGCGTGGCTTATAATAGAAAGCCAATCAATCACAAAAAGTGCCATAATGGAGAATAATATGTGCTATATTAGGAGTTTTTATAAATTAAAATAAAGAGAACTTGTGTGAATTCACCATGTCCTCAGTGTTTAGCTAGAGATACAGTAGTGACAATGAAACAATGTATAGCCAATAGCATCACCTACATGGGAAGACATCTTTATTAGGACATGTCGTATATGAGATAAAGAGATAATGACGGGTCTAAAAGATATAGATAAGAACAGGTCTACAAGACAGAGAGATAAGGACAGGAGGTCTATGAGATACTTGGATTGTATCTGGATGGGGTTCTGGGAGTTCTTCTATTCTCCAAGCCTGGTTCTCACAAGTCAAGCCAGGCTTTATATGTGAGAGCAGGGCCCAACAAGCTGTTGCTTAGAGTGGCCTGCAGGCTCACATATATGCTACGGCCCAGTTGGTTCAGCACTTCTTGCAGAAAACTGTCAAGTTTTTACTTGAAGACTTCCAACAATATTTCTTATATTTGCTGGGAGGATACTGAACAGTCATGGTCCTCTGATGTTCACACAGTGTTCTGTGACTGTGCCTATGTCACCTCTACTCTTCACTGACTCTATTCTGTATTTCCTTCCATATTCAGTATGTTGTTATTTTACTGTGCAAATATGGGATCTGGCCCCTCCAGTATTTTCCATGTACAGTATTTATTATTTGATACCCCTCTTTCTCCTTTAGTACATTTTAAGAGCTTTGAGACAATCCCAATAGTTTAGGTGCTTTATCATGTCAATGCATGCTGTATATGCTCTTTGTATTCCCTCTATTTCAACAATCTATCCTGCTCTGAAAGAGGAAGTGAGTATTGAGCAGTACTCAAGACAGAACAGCACAAGTGATTTGGGTAGTATGAGCACTGCTGTGGGATCCCTGGATTTGAAGGTTCTCATAGTCCATCCAATTATTTTTCTAGCTGACGCTATGCTTGCTTGGTTATGCTCCCTAAACATTAGGTCTAAGAAACAAAGATAAGGACATGTCTATTCACACATTTGATGGGCTGGACTGAGTGCTATTTTTTTTTTTTATATTCAACAACATTATTTTTTATAATTTTTTTACCTAATGTTAATGATATTGGCATCAAAATTGTGTGAAAAATCATGTTATACCATTTGAACTAATGAAAATACAATAATTGTGACGTATAATAACGACCATACAGTAAACATGAGACAGAAAATTTTTGATACAGTATCACTTTTAATTACAGGACTTAGTTCCCCTGCAATATTACTTAGTAGATTAAACCCCCACAGTAACTATGTTAAACAATTATAGCAACAACAAAGCATGTGGCAGATGAACACTAAGCAAAATAAACAGAGTGAGGGATTTGTGAGTGCTGATTTTCACCCATGAAGGTTCAGCCAAATGTGGGCCATACAGCACGTGATCTGGAGTGGACGCCGATACAATTGAGAGACTAGGGCCACAAACATACCGAGATGAGGAGTTTGTATGAGAGTATAGAGGACAGACACCTCATGAGAATATGAGGGAACTGGAGAAGATTACAAGGAATGTTTATTAGACATGGTGATTTGGAATGTTTTCTAATGAATCCAGCCCCATAATGGAACATATAACATCATATATATAGAAATGCTAAATATAGAAAATAAAGGCATAGCACAAGGAAAATAAACTTGATCAATATGTTCATTAGGAAAATATTATTTTTATATTCACAGTACAGTACTTACTAATTCAGATGAAGTTTTGTGCATATATAAGATCTGTTCAGCTTCATTATCCAAAATATTTTGTGGTACTGAGCCATACATGTAATTCCAGTCATCTTTCTTGCTCTTATCAGGAGGGTGGGGAGCAAATCTACAAAAAAGTAATATTGTCATATATTTAAGAGAAAACCTCACACAAAACAGTTATCATATATCTAAAAGAGCACACTAAAGCAGTCTGAGGCCTCATGCCACTGGTATGTTTGTCATGCATTCAGAGTCATATTCTTTGTGTTTTCTTTCATCTGGAAGAGGAGTCTACTCAAGAGGTTGCAGCCTCTGGTTCAGTGAGGCCTGAAAATCATTTAACCCATCCTCCAAAATGATAATGCATACTGTACATATACAAACAATAAATGATTGCATAAACAACAGGCCATATTTTATAATCGCTATTGTGAAGGTAAAAAAACAAAACAAGACCAACACCACAAAAGGACTGATGTGAACCATCCTGCTGAGGTCTCCTAACACGGAACTCAACACTGCCCAAAAGCAACTGGGAGAAGGAAAGGAGCCAAACAAAAGGAGCTAAATTAGCACATCTAAACCACTGCAAATGACCCAAGAAGCTGAGAAACCCAAACTCAAACACACTTTCCCTGAGAAGCGGACGGGATGGACTTCAGGCAAAAGACTTGGAATGAACCTCTAGTGCAGTATTTCTATATTGGGGTTTTGTGGAACCCCAAGGAAACTTAGGGGTTCCTTAACTGTGATAAATAGATTAATTCTTATTATATGCAAATTTATTTTTGAGTCTTTTTATGTTTAATTTCTCATTTAACTAGTATCAAGAGCAAAGATAGAAAACATCTCCTTTCAGTTAACAATGAAATCTGTGTGTGTTTATCTAGAGTACAACCCAAATTATGTATTTCAAGGGTACAAAGGTTGAGAAATGCTGCTCTAGTGTAATAAACAAATTTTTGCACCACCTTCTCAGGAAAGGGGAAGGCAGAGAAGAACTTAAAACATAACATGAGTAAGCGTACTCCTTGAATAATCCCAAAACAGCACGTCAACAGGTGAGTGCGCCGTGAATAAATCCAATGCCGCATAACAAAGAATGGGAGCAAATGACTTAGGAGGCACGAAGTCACTGATGCACTCATATTGCTCGCACACACACACACACACACACACACACACAAGGAAGCAAATTGTGAATGCATATAAGCAGAGAAAAGCTCCTGGGAGGCAAGTTATCAAGGGTACATTACACAATTCTAAAAATTGGTTATACCTGTAGCAACACTCTATGCCTTAAGTATTAATGATTTTAAAGATTATTACAATAAATTTCAGTTTACCAAGTATGATGCATTATCAGTCAATTTGTTACCAAGATACTGTCCATAGACAGATTCCCTAACATCTGACAAAACAAATTCTTTAGGCAGCCATAAGGAAGATGCATCACCCACAAATAATGGAGTACATCTCACAATGCAATACATGAGGGAATCTAGTAAGAACTCAATCCTATGAAGTGTTCTCAAGGTATTTTCTGGACGTTTATCAGAAAACAGAAAGTAACAATACCAAAAGGTAATCACCTTACGAGATATATCTAGTAATACAATCATACTCACATTACTCTGCACAAATTGACATACAAAATATAAAAGTATTATATTTTATCTGCAACTTGAGGTATGATTAAAATAGTGACTACTTCAACAGGAATCGATACATGGGAGACTAACCGAAGTTCCTTAGAAAGAAAGAGGTGCAAATCCAAGAGGTATGGTGCCTCATCTGATGCAACTAAGGAATATGCAACGCCTGTTCTCCCAGCACGAGCAACTCGACCTGCAAAGAAAGAGACCAATATATATATCTGAACAATTAGTCTTTATTTCACATATCCATATATATAGATATATAAAATAAATAATAAGGTATATGAAAAACAAACACTGTAATAAGGTTTTATTTTACTCAGTAAATAATTATATCAAGAAAAATTATCAAAACAAATGTATGAAGACAACCACCAACAGACTTCCTACCATTCCAGTTATTCCTATATTAATGCATCCACTGCAGTGTTTTTCGTGCATTTTAATAAAAGAATACTAAGTGATTCTCACCTTTAAATATCAATAGTACCTTCATAGACACTAGCATTATACTAAGTTAGTAATACAAAAATAACATTAGAATTTATTTATAAAAATATATGTAAGTATGATTACAGTATAAATTAATTGTATACTCATCACTATCACCAGTACAGAATGGTAATGTCAATGATTACAGTGACTGAGAACAGAAGGTTGGCAAATTAATGACCTAAAAAACACATTTCTAATACTGGGAAGTTTGTCATCAGTTTTAAATATACTGTACTGCACTGTATTAATATGACAAAGGAACAGGATAAAATGTATACCAATGAAAGCAAGACACACCAGGGCCACCTTTTGGTCACTGAAGTGGTATTGTTGTTGTTGTATTGTGCCCAGTTTGATAGATTTGGATGTAATATATAGAGGGTAGAGAAAGAATTGAATTCTCCTTTTATGCAGTTAACAGTCTGTTAAAGTGATGACAGATTAAAGTGTAAAAATTAAATAACTTTGTTCCAGAGATTTTTGACTCCTTGGCAGTCAACTGTTGGTGCCTGTGTTTACTTCCTTCCTTACATGGCTGCTTGTGGAGCATCATCTTATACCTGACACCAGTGCATCCTACAGAGCAGCTCCAGCAAGGTCTGTCCTGCCAAGTGTTTAAAGGATGATGTGCAATTTGTATCAATGAGACCAAGGAAAATTATATCAAACTCTTTGGACATTCGACAAAACTTACCCACTCTATGAACAAAGAGTTTGGGTTTGGCTGGAAAGTTAAAGTTGATGACATTGTCCAGCAAGGGAATGTCAATACCACGAGCTGCTACATCCGTCACAATCAGACATCGAACCTGTGAAATATTATCAGATAAGATTATTTGCAACTTGTTATAAAATGTTTATGCAAAGTAACAGAGGGGAGACAGACCATGCTAAAAAAATTATAAACATATCTAACTGCAATTTATAATCTGGTAATAACTATGTGCACTACAAGAAATCTAATTCATAACTACAGCATTAATTTCTTTTTATTCATTTGGATCAGTGGAGTCAAAATTGGGCTTCAAAGGTTTAAGATCACTGTCAAGTTGAAATATCCAATGATCCAAGAAAATAAAATGTTACTGCACATGTTATTGTAGCTTGCATCTTAAAGCATTAATCTTAAAATGTTTAAGATGGATTTCTCCCTTTGGCTCAATTGTTAATAGCCTACTTGAGAAAGTTTACTGAAGTGGAGTTTTGTTATGTAGAAATATATTTGGGGAAAATCTGGTTTAAAAGGTCATGAGGAGAAAGTGCCAAGCCAATATGATTATATAAATATCACTTGGAAGGGATATGAGAGCAAGGTAATGGAACGGTGCCCAACCACTTGGATTAATTAGTGACCTTGCAGTAATCAAGGTCATTGCTTTACCAACTGGCTGAATCAGTTGGATACTGGTTTAAAAGTGACAGAAACAAAGACTGGGTGGAAGCAGTTCATGAAAGAGTGAATATTTATCATGTTTCTATAATATATCTTTCAAGGAGCATATTACACCAAGTGCTGAGCACTGCTGTGAGTCATTAACCAAAAGGTGAATATAATGCTAATTATATGGCAGAGAAACAAGAAGATACTTTACCTTTTTTGTTTGAAATTTGGCAACATTAATCTTTCTGGCAGCTGGATCTAAATCAGAGTAGCAATATGTATTCTGTATGTTTGCCATATTCAAAGCCTGAAAAAAAAATATCATTAGAGTAAAACGATTAGGTAAGAACACACACACGGGACATGTTTCAGGAATGATCCAATAAGTGATTAATTATCAGAGTAAGGTAATTATTAGGAGAAAGCACTAAGCCAGTATAACTATAAAGCACTTGGAAAGGATATGGGGTAGATACAAGGAGCTTAGATAGAGGGCAAGGTGAAGGAACGGTGCCAGACCACTTGGACAATCGGGGACTAAATGCAGACCCCGCAAAAAGCGAGGCTATCACCATACAGTACCGACCAGTCAGTGTTTTGAAGAAATTCATAAAGTTCAATGTTAAAAACAAGATGGCGCATGCTGTTGGCTCCCAATTGATTAGACCATTGATTACTGGGTGGGGAAAAATGTATGGGTCCAATTCTTTACACTTAATGCCTGTGTGTTCACTTAACAGTAAATAGATACTTGGGAAGTTTGGCACTGTTGTGTACACACGACTAACACACTTTGTCACCACTAGGATCCAAGGTAATGTAGATGCAGGTATTGTACCACATATTAAATTTATTTATTTATTTATTCATTTATTTATTTATATACAAGAAGGTACATTGGGTTTATGAGAGTACAGAGACTTGAAGTTTTACATTCTTGTATAGCCACTAGCACATACAGCGTTTCAGGCGCTTCTTTCACATATGAAAGAAATAACTTTGGAGTTAGGAAGAGAATAATTATAATGATTATGTGTTCTGCTATTACATATTATGGCTTTCTCATACGTAAATAATGCACTTAATTTTTTTGTAACCTAACTCAATTACAAATGTACAACTATTTATGAACAAAGTTTATAATTTGATTTGATTTGAGAATGACCTGGAGGTGGCTACCACACACAAGATATGTACCTTGAAGCACACACGAATCAGATAATCTCAGTGGGATATGCAAATCAGGAAAATGTAAGATCGGTCTTTATGAATCTTAGAATGAAATCTTGATAAGTTTCATACCAAGTTTTATTTTCATGAGGTGGTTGGGAGACTTCACATTAAGTTGACTTTAAACATGGATTTCAGGGGTCTAGCCACCCCAATATCAATACAAAGATTAGTTTGATAATAATAAATACATGTTAAAGGTTTTAAGACAATCCTGTGAGGTATTCTAAATGTATTGAAAGCTACAAAATATGAACTACTGTTATATATTATTAGGTTATACAGAAGAAAAAGTGCTTTAGAATTATAAAATTGCTGGGGTATGAGTATGTGTCAAGCACCTCCACATCCAATTAAGTTTACTCGGCATGAGCAGATCAGCAAGTGACAACAAAATTAGAAGAATGTGATGCATTTGTGAGAAAATACTAAGAATGCACGATGGGACTGAACCCACGTGCCTGGGCTTCCTAGGGTCACACGCACTGGGAAGTGACAATGGACTTACCATGTGTAAATATTCAACATGATGCTTTGTTGCAGCAAATATGACAGTTTGCTGATGATCAGTGATGATATGCTGCAAAACATGGAACAGCAGAGCCAACTTATCTTCTGGATTACATTTAAAGAAAGCCAACTTTAAATTTTCAGAGAGGACATGCTCTACATCCAATCTGAAAAAATACAAATACTGTACAGTAACTAATTCTTATCTGTATTTTGGCAAGTAAATGAAATCTGACAATTTATTTCAAAATTATTGATAAAAGTTAAATTCACATTAATGCCACTATTATCATTTACAGTATTATCTCATTTTCCTAGTATCACGGTGTGGGAAGACAATGGTCCAGGAAAAACAAGAGAGTAATATGCAGAAAGAATAATACAACTCAAAGTGATTTCTTATTAATTCCTAAAGTGTAGCAATGATCAAAGGTACTTCTCTACTTGTGCATAAAAAACAAAATTCTTATAAAAATTTCATTTACCTGATAAGAACAGGATCAGTTAAGCCTGCTCGTGCAAACTCAACCAGCATCTTCGGAAGAGTAGCTGAAAATAGGAGTGTCTGTCGAATCTCTGGGAGTCGCTTCAGAATCTCTGACAGCTGCTCCGCAAATCCCATTTCGTATAGCCGGTCCGCCTCATCAAAAACTACATACTCAACATTTTGTAGTTTTAGGTTCATTTCAACGCAGACATGAACTAATCTGGAATAATGAAAAATCAATGCAGAAACTCTTTATATCTTGAAAGAACGAGTAAAATTGACTCTTGTAATCCACATCTAATATCAGCTGTGTAAGTAGTGTTAACAAATTATGTAACATGCACACAGTTGTACACTTTATTGAAAAATATGCCCAATCTAAACAACTAAAGCTTTTGTTTTCCACCAAAGAAAAGTTAATTCAAACAGAGGGTGTACCTTATGTAATTACAAACAAAAAATGATTTCAGATAACAATATAAAACAAATATATAACAACATAAAATACATAACAATATAAAATATTGTATATAACAATACAAATACCAATGAAATCTATTACAACTATAAAAACGGGCATGCTACCTTCCAGGAGTTGCAATAATGATGTCTGGATTTTCATGTAATGCTGCAAATTGTCCCTCAAGGCTATCTCCGCCCAATATTACCGCTGCTCGTAACCCCGTATAACAGCCAAGTTCTTTAGTAAACTTGAGGGTCTGTTCAAAGGTAATAGTCTTGATCAAAGAAACTTAAAACATTTGATGCATATTGTATGGAAAAAATAAAACACTGAGCGTACAGTACATGCATATGAATAGTGCATATCTAAGGAGACTCACTTGTTGCCCATTGAGGTAAGATTCTGTTATCATTCAGTCTGTCAATGTGATACCCATAGGAACCAGCACCATGGTTAAAAAACACTGCCTCTTCCTTGCACACTGTTACTTTATAAATTTATTTAATTAGGCCATAGTATCAATTGTGCATTCAAAGTGACTACACACCTCTAAATGCTATTATGTTATTGAAATATTGAAAAGCTATTACAGTCAAGACTTAAACCCCAAATACTCAACTAATGATATTTTCAATGTATCAACACATTCCCCATTAGTGGAGTGTGTCTACTCAACCACTTCTGCTGTAGCCACCCTCTGATGGGGAGCTCCTGAGAGGGATTAAGACTTTTGGGGCAATAGAAAGTTAATTTAAATAACCCAGTTACAAAAATTTCAAGTAGTTCTGAAACATTGTTTTATCTTAAAATAGGACATAATACAGTATAGAAGTCTTCACCAGCCAACATAACTTAATACCTCAACACTAGGTATCATTTGAGGCACCTATAGCAGTTGTAAAACAAATGTAAGTGCAAAGAATCATTTACCTGTAAACTGAAACTATAAACCCCATGAAAATATGGAAACAAGGTAAACTGGAACACACCTGCAGGGCAAGCTCACGAGTGGGTGAGAGTATGAGTGCACGTGCGCCTGTCTGAGCAGAGTGGGTCTGTAGCTTCTCAAACAACGGTATAAGAAAACACGCTGTCTTTCCACTTCCTGTTCTTGCCATGGCTACTACATCCTTGCCCTCCAAAATTAGGGGAATAGTCTAATGGACAAAAAACAACAATTAGTAACACTGATAGCAAAATAAAAAAAAGACTGCATGACACAAAAATATATTCTGCAACTAAAAAAGAAGCAGTCCATAATAATTCATGAGCAAATAGAAAGTTGTGTGGAACGACATGCCCATTTCTGAGCTACATATCAGTAGCTTTCCAAAGAGAAATTAAAAAAAAAAAATTAGGCCTCTGGAACCCATTCCTACTTTTCTGTATCCTATTAACTTTTAAATAAATATACAGTACATCACGCTAAGTTTTCCTGGAATGCATCTTCCGGATTTTCCAAGTCTTTGGTAGACAAAACTATGCTTTGCCTATACTGTATTTAACATAGAACTTTATTTATTAAATAAATGTAATTTAGAATCCCAATAACAAGGAGGAGTTTGGCAGCAATAGCCTACTAACTAACATTTTGCTAATACAGTGAAGCTAAAAAAAAAAGGGTTAGAATACCTGTATATCACAAATTTAGGTCATAAATACCTATGTTTAAGGCCTTTTGAAAGAAATTAAATGAAACCAATACCTAAAAGTGGTGATGACCAAACCACACACCAGAAGATGAAGAGACGACGACGTTTTGGTCAGTCTCGGACCCTTATCAAACCGATTGTGATAATAGTCAAGGACGGACCAAAACATTGTTGTCTCTTCATCTTCTGGTGTGTGGTTTGGCCATCATATCTTCAGCCACGTTACTGTGACCCATCGTCTGCCTAAAAGAAGTGTATTGAAAACTAAAACATACGTCACATTTTCTTTGAATTTACACCACACTAACCTTTCGCTGGATAGGAGTAGGAACCTTATAGCCTTTCTTCATAACTCCTCGATACAATGGGTTGCTTAGACCCATGGACTGTTGAAATAAAATAGAACACCTTAATGAATGAGAAAAGTGATTGTCAAAATGTATTTCTCAAATTACTGTTAAACACTAAATACAATATAATCTTATTAAATGAGCAAAATAATTTTCTCATAATATACTATCTTTCGAACAATATTTACTCTTTTCTTCCCCTTCCTAAATCACTCCCTTTATTAAATTTGTTATGACAGTCCTGTTCATTTTATGAAATTATATTTATCATAACAGTAAATGACAACTACTTTCCATATATGATAATGAAATATGCTAATACCTGTAATTATTATATATAGTATGGAAATATGAATCTGATATCTAAACATATAAAATTCACTTTGATAACAAACAAAACAAGTACAGTATTGTATTTGATAATCAACCAAAGTAAAAGTGACAAACATATATGACTCCCATGTGATATCAAAATATACATACAGGATTCTAAGCTATTAATTAACAACATACTTTGTGATGGTACAACATCCATACAGAACTTCTTGCTTTGTGACCTGGTACAAATCAGATCTACAGTAAGCACTTGATACTGTAACGGCCCTTAAACACAGAAAAAGAAAAGATTTTGCATGTGCTAACATAGCAAGTAGTATTATAATAAGAGCAATGTGACTACAATATGGAGGGGGGGCATATAAAGAACATGGACCACTAGCCACCACATGCCAACCTCACAATGCAAGGGATCGAAGCCAGAACAGTTCAAGTGGAGAAGTCAACAGACATCTGCCATCAAAAATACTTCTGACAGAGAATGCCTTCCACTTCAGGACCAAAAACCTGAAATAAAATTAAAGCTATTTACTCAAGGAAAAGAGTGGAGTGCCTGCCAGCCAAGGTAATGTGGGTAATGGATACTAAATCCCAAGTAGCAGCAAAAAACTCCAAAAGAACAGTGCCCAGTTCAGACACCAGGTCTCTGCTATGTAACAGCCTGTGATGGAATGCCATGTCAGGGCTGCCAACAGACATGACAAACCAAACCCAAAACAGTACCATGGAAGCCTCATACTGAAACAAACCCTACCATAGCAAATTGGACTGTCAGGATGGGTTATAGAAGTCCATAAGTGGTTATCTTGAGATATTGAGATGATTTCGGGTCTTAGCATCCCCGCAGCCAGGTCCTCGACCAGGCCTGCTTTTTTGTTACACACCCTCCAAGAAGCAGCCCATAGCACCTAACCCCCAGGTATCTATTTACTGCTAGGTAGGTGAACAGGTGCATAAGGGTGAAAGAAACTGCCCATTTGATTCCGCCTCCACCGGGATTGAACCCAGAACCTCAAGACTGCGTAACCCAAGCGATGTCCACTCAGCTGTCAGGCCCCTTACGAATGGAACTCGACTCACCTTCTACTGAAAACCCACAGCCACCAGAAAGTATGAAGGACCCACAACAACAACACATCCCAGGGATAACCGACACCATCAAGCATTGAAGGAAAAAGAACTATGACAATCCAGAATAAAACTGACAGCACAGGTAAAAACCCAAGTAGGTACAGTCACAAGAGTAGCAGTTAAACCCTGTACCAGCTCCAAACCCAGAATATACATTGGCCACTAAAACTAGAGGATGGGTAGTCATATGGTTCAAAGAATCCAGAAGCCTAGGTCAAATGGAACAAAACATAGCACAATCTGTGTGTCTGCATGGCAAAGAAAGAGACTTCAAAGGATGGAGGGCTGAACCGTTAACACACATCTAAAAAAAAAAATTATGATTATGCTTGCAAGGGCTGTTCAATGACCCCTCATCTGTCTTACTGTGAGCTGGTTGCTGTGGTAGCTTACATTACACTTTCCACTGCCCGTTTTCAAAAATTACAGAAGCCCATTTGAAAAGCTTCTTGTCACAGTCTTGATAAGAGTCCTGGATGAACAATATAGGCTCTGGCTCAAGGAGCATCAGATGGATACATGTATTGTACACAAGACAGTTTGCCAACAGTTTTTAAAACTTACTTAACCTTATCCAACCTAATCCAACCCAAAACAACGGAAGCACCTCAAGGTAAGCCTAATACAGGCTAACCTAAGCTAATACCTCTTAACCTAATTATATACATATACAGTTTTAACAATTAAAAAAACAAGCTTTGTCAAACTTTCTTGTGTACAATATGACCATTTTGTGCCTCCTTCAATTGGACCATAGCTCAAGAAAATTGCAGAACATGTTGGATACTGAAAAATAAAAGACAGCCTTCTCTTACCTGAAACCCGCCTGATTTCTTATTTTTCCTATTCTGTTTTGCCATCAGTTTGCGTGTGTCCAATTCTCCCTCCGATGCGTATCCATCCATTGGTGCATCTGTGGCCCCCCATCCTTCCAGCTCTTCTGCCATAATCTTATCTTTATTCTTTTCACTGAAAAATATTAGCATAAATATTAATAAATATCACATTAATAATTACATATACAGTATATATATTTATTTCACCAAATTTATGCAAGGGTCATCATTAATCTAGTGGGCTCAATGGGGACAGGAAGCTGGCAGCCTGTCAAAGGTCCCCCCCCCCACTATTCCCAAGGATATTTTCCATCAGGATTTTAAACTGAAGTAATATCTTGGCTTTATGGCTTCGGCAAGTATGCCGTTCCATGAGTTTTGCCTGAATTTACCCAAGGGCCACCATCTCTCTAGCTATCTCAACTAAGACAGGAAGCCAGCAGCTTGTCAAAGGCACTAACATTTTTCCTGATGATTTTGAACTGCAGCAATGTCTTAGCATTTACAAAGTTTCAAGGAGAAAGAAAGGATTGCTCACAAAACATATTTTGCTCCCTGGAGATTGTAGATTTGAATGAATCATGTTATTATGTATTCCACTTGGTAACCCTTGACCTGGTATATATTTAGGGGTCCCAGTAGTACATTCGGGTTCGTTCTCGATGCACAATCAAGAATTCTGGGTTCAAATCCCGGGCGGGACAGAAATGGTTAAGCACATTTCCTTTCACTTAATGCCTCTGTTCCCCTAGCAGTAAGTAGGTACTCAGGGGTACTCAACCAACCTTGATGTGGGGGTTGCATCCTGAGTGGGGTTAGTAATTCCACCTTGGGGGGGGGGGGGGACCATGATATATGCCTAACGAGCATGAATACACTCTGGCTGGCTGTCCCCTGACACTATGAATTAATTACCCCATTAATTAGGCTGCTCTATGCTTCATAGTGTTATAAAGAGAACTTGTAAACACCTCCAAAGGATACCTGATCAACCAGGCTGTGATTCATACGTCAGGCTGTGAGCAGCCACGTCCAACAGCCTGGTTGACCAGTTCAGCAACCAGGCCTGGTCGAGGACTGGGCCGCGGGAACACTGAGCCCTAAAATCATGGCAAGGTAAAGTATGCCACAGAATTAGAGGCTACATGAATTATAACCAACCGGGCCCTACAAATTTGGTATATACCTAACCTTGGGCTCTGGCACTATTGTCTATAAATCTCCACCAACGCAATACATAACCAACCAACCACCACAATACATAACCAACCAAGCACCACCAACACCACATAACCAACCAACTACCACCAACACCACATAACCAACCAACTACCACCAACACCACATAACCAACCAACTACCACCAACACCACATAACCAACCTGGTTAGCCTGCCACATGTGAGCTCCACCGTCTGTTTACCAACCCGCTGGTACAGAGCATTTGACACAAAATCCTTGCTGATTTTCTAGCTTTAATAATAATAATGATGCATTAATAGCAATTGACAGTCTCAACGTAGCCGTTCTTGAAAACAATAATCATTTATTAGATTATACTTTAGGATAAAATAATAATATTTAACCAGCGTTCTGCCATAGCTAACAACGAGCATAAACGAGCATTGGCCGAAACGCTGTGGGTATTAATGGCTTTAGGTATTGTATGTATAGGCTCTATCTATAAATCTAACATTATGTTTGTAACTCATTTATATATGTACTTTTATCTTAATAAACATTTGAATTTAAATTAAAACCTTATCCTATTTTCGATTTCATTTATTTGTTTATTTTTTGAGATATATACAAGAGTTGTTACATTCTTGTACAGCCACTAGTACGCGTAGCGTTTCGGGCAAGTCCCTAATCCTATGGTCCCTGGAATACGATCCCCTGCCGCGAAGAATCGTTTTTTCATCCAAGTACACATTTTACTGTTGTGTTAAACAGAGGCTACAGTTAAGGAATTGCGCCCAGTAAATCCTCCCCGGCCAGGATACGAACCCATGACTTAGCGCTCGCGGAACGCCAGGCGAGTGTCTTACCACTACACCACGGAGACTGGATTTAATTCAATTCATTGTGTCGGGGGACAGGTAACCAGTTCATACATACAATACATGTTACGCTTATATAGAGGTACCCATTCCCTCCAGGATCGAATTACTGACCCTTCCCAGGATGCAACCCCACAATAAACTGACTAACTCCTGTGCAACACACACAGAAATCACAATAGCGGCGTGATGCATCAAATGAACAAATCCACAAGGGCCGAAATTCAATTCCAGTTGCAATTCGTTTTACCATGTCGTAGCTCAGTCGATTAAGGCAGCGTCTGGGATCCTCTTGGACGTAAGTTCGAACCCTTGTCACAGCCCTTGTGGATTTGTTCATTTAACTCCTGTGTACCTTGGTGACCTTAATTTTTAGAGGTTGACGAGCCTAAAGCCCAATATCAAACCATATATACATCTGGAGGTAACGCCCGATTCTCGGTGTTTAATTAATTCCAGTTGTGAGGAACGGAAAGCCTGCACTTATAGGCCCGTATCGAGGCTACCCCCTAGGTCGAATTAGATCCGAAATTGTGAGTCGAATATGTAGACCATTATACTACAGGATCAATTAATTAATACGCTGAAAGTTTACTTTATTCCTGGACTATTTCCAGGATTACAGTAAAGGTTTAATTAATCTGGACGACAAGAAGACGTCTGCACACCTTCCTTGTCTGGGGACGTCTGAATACCATCTCTGTCTGGGTATGTCTGAACACCTGCCTATGCCTGAGACTTCTGAACACCTGCTCTGCCTTCATGGGGGACGTCTGGACACCTGCTCTGCCTGCATGGGGTCATCTGGACACCTGCTCTGCTTGGGAACGTCTGGACACCTGCTCTGTCTGCATGGGGTCATCTGGACACCTGCTCTGCTTGGAAACGTCTGGACACCTGCTCTGCCTGGGGGCCGCTTAAACATGTGACGTAATTTTAACCATTGGGTATAGATACTGTCATTAAACATTATTATTGTCATTAAGTATAGATACTTCTCAACAACATAGGTTGAAGCAACGCCCGACGCACTTATCACCTGGAATGGCGGAAGTTGATAAGTTTCCGTTTCCCTGTTGGACTTTCTGACGGAGTTACTGTGTCTGGCACCGAGTTGACCGATAGTTGTCGGGTTTTGGCGGATTGCTAGTAAAATAAATAAAATAAAATGTTTATTTAGGTAAGGTACATACATACAAGAAATTTTTACAAAGATTGGTTGACTTATAGGTAGAGCTAGTACATACAATGCCTAAAGCCACTATTACGCAAAGCGTTTCGGGTATAAAGTGAGTCCTTAGGGGGGAGGGGGGGGAGTGCTTGGCTCCTGGTCACTAAAAAACATTTTTGCCTGATTGGGCTCGAGTTTAGGAGGGGGCCATCACGATACTGTCGCTTAGCCGTGACTTCTACCCACAGTTGACAAGACGTCTGACGACTTATCGTCAAGAGGTAACTGGATGTTGATAGTCTTGTTGCTGGTTTTCTGCGTGTGGTGTGGGTCATGTGTTCGCCACCCCAGGGGACTCGCCACCCTGGGGGACTCATCACCCAGGACTCGCCACCCCGGGGGACTTGCCACTCTAGGCGCTCACCAAACATCTGCCTGGCAGTGAGTTTATCTGTCACAAGTAAATAATTATCAAATGAAGGCACCAATCCGGGAAGACTATGTAGCTTAACTACCGCAAGACACGTCCGGTCCTCCTAATAGAACGTCGCATTTTGACATATACTCTACCCAAGGCCAAAAATTGTCACACTAGAAAATGGTAGCGACTCGCGAAATTGACATACTGTCCCGTTTTCTGTTTTGGGTCCTCTGGTACGTTAGGATAAGGGCACTTTAGTACAACAGTTTCTTGACGTTGGGGAACCTTAGTAGGACGGACTGCCACGTGTCGCCTGACCTAGTGGCGGCTCCGCCACAAACTCTGCCGTAATGACCACGGTTTAAGGCTTGTTTTCCCCTGCCACACTCGCTGTGATTACATATTTCACCAACATTAATACTGGGAAGTAGTACGCTCATCGTGACCTCCCTCCCCCCCCCCCAACACACACACTATAGTTCCTCGTTTCATAGTTCAACAACAAAGTTTCTCGTTGTTTTATATATGACTGATTTGCTGAGTCAAAACTAACATATAAATTTGATCAAACGTAATTACCTAACCTATCCTTACATAACATAACTAAGCTAGTAATTCACGATTTTAATATAATATCATTATATTAATTATTAGCAATAAACAATTCTGGAAAGAACTATTTGAAAATAACGGAAATCACTCTATTACACTTTGCATTATATCATTTTACCTGTTAAGCAAAAACGGGCCTTGCTTACTAGGCCAAGTAGTGCGGTTCATGCTGTTAAAAAAAGTTTCCCATTTGGCAAATTCAATAATACAAAACGTCAACTTTTTGGTGGCCTAACAGAAGAAAATGTATATATGCTAGTTAGCATTGTAAATGTGTGGCCACGTCTGTTGTAGAAAATAATAATAATAATAATAATAATAATAATAATAATAATAATAATAATAATAATAATAATAATAATAATAATAAAACTACATATTGATACTTTCCACCAAATAGGTACTATCATTTTAGAAGCCTCTGGGCGGCATTATTCTGTACGGAGTGAATGTGGGTGCTCATGGCTGCTGGCAAGGCCCAGGAGCTGCAGCCTCAGCTCTCTCGAACACACGTATAAGTACAAGCGGAGGCGACGAAGCTATTTACGTATTCCGAAATGTGAGCCCCACTGTAGTCATCCTACAGTGTGGCTCACTGTAGGATGACTACATCGTAGTGTAGGATGAAAACTCGTAGTGTACCACACAACGATTTTTTGCGTTTAGGAATTGCTCATTTTCACAAATGGATATCCTTGAAAATAAGAAAATAAGCTTATTTTCACAAATGGATGTCCATGAAAATAAGAAAATAAGCTTATTTTCACAAATGGATGTCCATGAAAATAAGAAAATAAGCTTATTTTCACAAATGTATGTTCTTGAAAATAAGCAATACACACACCGAATACAATACAGTGTATTTCATCAATATATTTTCTGCTGAGAGTGATCGCGCAGGCGAGGTTGAGCACCTCAACACGGTGCTCAACGGTGAGCTTTATATCTAGATCACTGTAGCGTTATGTCTAGTTACCGCCGCGTGGTTCAACTACCTGCCGTTTACCCAGCGGGGCTCCACGCACGGTAATTTAACATTGTCTCTCGCAATGTTGTTATTATGTGTTGGGGGATGTGATGAGGCTTGGAGGGGGAGGGGTTAGCATCAGTGAAGATGTTGTTAGCGTGATGTTGTGTCTGCTGAGAGGAGGAAAAGGAGGAGGAGAATTTGAGAATGGGAAGATGGGGGATATCACCGTTTGATTGATGAAGATTCAGCCACCCAAGAGGTGGCACGGGCATGCATAGCCTGTAAAAGATATCACCGGTGCAGGTGTTGTTATATAGTATGGGTGTTGGGGGAGGATAGCACCAGTGCAGATGTTATTAGTGTGTGGTGGGGAGGTGGTAAGGGGTGGAAGAGGGGGGCGGTGAAGGAGAGGCTGACCTCCACCCAACCAGCCGGCGCCGTCCCCAGCATGGGGTTACCTAGGTCCGTCCGGCGTCACACCACCTGTCGCCTGTTATAGAACACAGCCAGATGTTACACAAGCACATGTGGGCGATACTTGTATCATGTTATTTGTATTATAAGTGGGTATGTTGGTTTACGAGACTTAAACTTATGAATGGAAAGTCTCGTTTATTTATATATGTACAAGAAGGTACAATTGGTTGTGAAGGTACATATGTTGCTGTGGTACTTTATTGCAAAGTTACTAACACGCAGGATGCAACCCCCAACAGTTGTCTGACTCTTTCTTATTAGCTGAATAGAGGCATCAGCTTAAGGAAACGTGTCAAAGCTTCTCGCCCTGTCTTGGAATCGAACTCGGGGCCAGTCGGTTGTGAGATGACGCACTAATCAACATGCGTGTTGCGTTATGTCAAGTAAACATTTAAGTCTTGTCACCTGGGTTTTGGGGTCCTCTTTACGGGAACTTCTCTTAAATATTCAAGCAGGCATAAGAGAATAGGCTGGGCAAGGTGACAAAAAATTTGAGGTCTAGTAGTATTAATAGAAACAGAATGTCACTTTATGTGTGTATTAAGGTGACTGGGAGAGATATAAGAACATGAGAATAAAGTTAACTATAAAAAGCCTATTGACTTATGCGATTAACGCCTATTTATATATCCACTCAAACAAATTCAATTAGCTAGTAGTTAGTAATAGTTGATTGATTGACAGTTGAGAGGCGGGCCGAAAGAGCAGAGCTCAACCCCCCGCAAGCACAACTAGGTGCACTAGGTGAATATACATGTCTAAGCAACTCCAGCGTCGCGGAATCCTTCTGGTAGCGGAGACAGGCGGGTGAGGACCAGTGTTGCCAGATTGGGCTACAAGTAGCGAATTGGGCTACTTTTGAGAGCCCGCGCTCCCAAATTTTTAATTTCGCTACTTGCTACTTTTTTGGCTAATTTAAAAGCAAGATGTGCTAATTTGGGCTATTAATGTTAAGAAACTCGATTATTATTATTTAGGATTAGATGCAACACAAACAAGCACCCCGCGATAGCAGCCACAGACTGACGATTTCAATGCGAGCACAGCACGCAGAGTATATCCTTTCACGACCACAAAGATCACAGTCACTCCAAAAAAATCTTCCACTTACGGTCCAATAAACTCCTCCCTCTGGCATTCACTTAGCAACCATTCCACTTCTGGTAGTAGCTTAGTATACATAGCTTAGTTAACTTCTGTGACTCATTTAACCCATAATTAACTAACACTATGATTATTGTTTACTTAAGGATTAAATTCACACTTCACAAATGTGTGCAGTGTAATTGACAAATGTGTTAATCAATCATCGGGAAGAATGTACGAGTGCGAGTTACATGAAAGTAACTAAGCTATAAATAATTGTAATTAATAATAATTGTAAATATTAATTAATACTAAATAATATTATTTAATAAATTAGTCCCAATTCAATGCAGAGTTTTCTTCCAAGCACAGAGACTTGTAAATATAAATACAAGATAATAGATAGATCGATAAATAAATAGACAACTTTCAAATATTGCACCAAGTAATGGCGAGAGGAAAAAACTAGACAGTATACATTACATTTGAAATTAATAATGGATGAATGGTAATAAATTGGTGTATGTTTGTGTGTATACCAGACAAAGTCCATTTAATGGCAGAATTTAGCCATTTTGTGTAAAAACTTTTATATCTCATATTATTAATTATAACAGTACCTGAAAAAAAGTCATAGTTTGCATATACAAGAGATGAAACAGAGAGCCATGAGCTAGAGTGATGTGCTGAGTCCATAAGGAGGCCGAGCTTCCAGAAATACCTTCCTGCGATTGGCTGTTGCGGGGAATACCAACACTCTTTTAAGAATAAAATTTAAACTAAGAAATAGGTTCTTGTGCACAACAACAAGGTTGTTGTGAAAAAGAACAACAATTTCTGTTTTGCACCTGACAGAAATCTCCATCTAACTGAATAATTTACTCGAATAAGAGGGCAGAGCAGTGTATTTGTGTCAAGGCAACCGCCAATAATAACGTCACAAGTTAGGTAGCCAACCCATTTTTATATAACATCTGTTATATCCTGCAATATTTAATTATCACTTTATTAACACTTTGAATAATTAGCACTTCACTTTTTTGGGTAAATTAAAGTTAAAGCAAAATTCCATAAGCAGGACTGGTGGGCTGAACTAAGATGATTTACTAAGCGGATGGCACCTATAGCTGATCCCCTCCTGTGATTGGCTGTTGTGTGAATGTCAACAAAGAGTTTCTACCAATGATATGCCATCATTTTATTTTTTTTTTGCACCCATACCATCTTGTGGGCGGAGCTTGAGACCTCTTACCCCGAGCACAACAACAATGTATTACTATTACTTTAAACACTGATCTATACGTCTGTTAGCTTATAATAAGGTTTTATACCATGAAACCATGTATTAGGTAACTAGAATTCTGCAATTACTTTTTTTTATCTACTGTTGAGGATATGTAAGACAAATGTAAGGTTTTGAGGCTAAGTAACGAAGATTGTTACAAGATACGAGCCAGATGGTGTTGAGATTGCAAAAGGGATTATGATAAGAACTTAAGCCAACAAATCAATGCATAAATGTTCGCAAATATGAGATTGGGATTTCTCGAAAAGTTAGCAATAAAATACGCTTTCTAGTTCTTTATTTTTAAAATTAAGACCAGGGATTCTGTCTAACGAAGCTGCAAGCTAAAACACCGTTATCCTATAATGTTCATCTGTAGCTTGACCCTAAATACTCGTTTATTAAAATAATTTATTGTTAGAGTTTATTAGGAATCAACTTGTTGAAGGCAGAGTTTCCAACAAATACCTTCCTGTGATTGGCTGTTGCGGGGTTATATGAATAAAATGCAAAATAAGAAATACGTCCTTTTGTTCAATAACCTTGTTGTTGTTGTACAAAAGAACAACAATTTGCAGGCGATGAGTCACAATAACGTGGCTGAAGTATGTTGACCAGACCACACACTAGAAATTGAAGAGACGACGACGTTTCGGTCCGTCCTGGACCATTCTCAAGTCGATTGTGATCAAGCCGAAACGTCGTCGTCCATTCACCTTCTAGTGTGTGGTCTGGTCAACTTTCTTTGTCACATTATCCTTTAGAGCCTAGTCTAAATTGGTCGACGACCGAAACGTCGTCGTCTCTTCAATTTCTAGTGTGTGGTCTGGTCAAGAACAACAATTTGTTTTATACAAGACAGAAATTTCCATCTAACTGAATAATGTAGACCAATAAGAGGACGGAGGCATTGTATCGCAGATATTATTTGCGTGAGGCAACCCCCACTGATGACGTCACAAGTCAGGTAGCCAGCCCATGTTTCTGTAACTCCCGTTACATCCTGCAGTATTTAATTGTCACTATATTAATACTTTTAAATACTTAACATTTCACTTTTTAGGTAGATTAAAGTTGAAGCAGAATGTCATAAGCAAGGATGGTGTGCTGAATAAAGATTATTTATTAAGTGGATGGAGCCTTTAGCTGATCCCTTCCTGTGATTGGCTGTTGTGTGAATGTCAACAAAGAATATCTAGGCGGAGCTTGGAACCTCCTACCCGAGCACAACAACCCACCTTATGGGTTGCTGTTTGGCTATTTGTAGTGCGTTGGAAAAAAAAGAGATGGCGCTAGTTGTATTTTGTGGGGTAATTTGTTATAAGTGTAATTTGATGTCAACAGATGGCGTAAGCTGTATCTTATGGCCACTGTTGACCAGCCAGCACAACAACCCACCTTATGGGTTGCTGTTTGGCTATTTATAGTGCGTTGGAAAAAAAAGAGATGGCGCTAGTTGTATTTTGTGGGGTAATTTGTTATAAGTGTAATTTGATGTCAACAGATGGCGTAAGCTGTATCTTATGGCCACTGTTGACCAGCCAGTTGATAGTGTTCTCTTCTGCCAACAGATGGCATCAGCTGTGTTATTATTACTTCCGAATTCCCTTTAAACACTGATCTACAAATCCCTTGGCTTATGATAAGGTTTTATACCATTTATGATAAGTATTAGATAACTGGAGTTCCGCAATTACTTTTATTTATCAACTGTTCAGGATATCATCCTATAACGTCTGGTTAGGACGTACTGCTCTCGATTGAAGATTAAGCCACCCAAGAGGTGGCACGGGCATGAATAGCCCGTAAATACTGCTCTTGTAATATTATTCAGGAGGGGTGGGGGAACTATCAAGTGAAAGCGCCAAGCCATTACGATTATATAGCACTCTGAAGGGATCAGGATACGGATCTGGGATGGAACCGGGGAAAGGAATGGTGCCCAACCTCTTGGGCGGTCGGGGATTGAACGCGGACCTGTAGGAAAGAAGACCGTCGCTCTACCGTCCAGCCCAAGTGGATAAGCGTAATATTAAAACAACAATTTATGCATATAATAACAGCATTTCACATTAAAATACTTCGAAATTTGGTAGTGAATTCCAATCTAGGAATCTCCTATGACTAAACTATACATTTTAATTATTTTTATGTATTTACTACTTATTATTAAATTATTAAGTACTTACTATAATAATTAAATAAATTATTTTATTTAAGATTTAAATTAAACGATAAAATAATAGGTAATAATAAATCATTGTGTAGGGGGGACAGGCAGCCAGTGTGTATATATACATGCTAGGCTTATACCAAGGTCCCACAAAGGTGCCACAAAGATGCCAAATTAAAGATTGGGTGCTGCCGGGGCGGGCTCAAGGGCTGCTGGCGGCCCTGGCCAGGCTGAACTTCCGCGCCCTTATAATCACCATTATTTAATAATCTTCACAGGAAGAAACAACTGTAAATATAGGAATAGTTTATTACAACATACACGGCAAAGAAAACAGCTCGGAAACTAAGGAAATAAAGCTGCCGAAAAAACATTAAAGTCCATTTCAAGTTCAAGTATGTTTATTGTCGGTTCATTCATGCTAGGCTTGCAGTTACACAACTGGTCGGGGTCCGCTTACACAACTGGTTGGGTTCCGCTTACACAACTGGTCGGGGTTCGGGGTGCACAATAAACCACCACTCACTGGTTGAATAGGGGATGCTTAATGAACTATCCACCTCTGGCGGCAAAAAATCAATATATTATATAGCTTATAATAAGGTTTTATACCATGAAACCATGTATATATATATATATATATATATATATATATATATATATATATATATATATATATATATATATATATACATAATGTGTATGTGCAGAAGTAATATTAATAAAACAATTAACATCGTGTAGTGTACTCTATGTATCAAAATATGTTACTTTGAAACCCATATCATTCATTAAAAAAAAATTGGGCTACTCTTATTACAAATTCGCTACTTTTTGGCCGTCAGCTCGCTACTTTCCCCAATTTGGATCTGGCAACCCTGATGAGGACGCCGACCTCCCAGTAGTGCGTCGATGGTTGTCTGGGGCGTACGCTCTCCCACCTGTGTGTGTGTGCTGATCACAAACCTAAATACTAATTGTGTGTTATCATTCGAAAACGAATTCATAAATTAAGAACTGGTGTTCAAGAATACGATTTAAAATTTTTGCAAGACAGTGACTATTGTGAACGAAAGTTTTGTTTTTCTCTAGGAGTTGTTTATAAGTTATTTAATAATTTTGGAATAGGGATAACGAAGACACGAATTTTGTTGTATTGATAAATGAAGTGTTAGTTAAATGTGCTGCAATTGGCCATAATTGGACGCAGACGCACGCACGCGTCCCATGATTACATTTCATGCTTTCTTTATAACAATCGACTTGAGAATGGTCCAGGACGGACCGAAACGTCGTCGTCCCTTCACTTTCTAGTGTGTGGTTTCGTCAACTTTCTTTATCATATTATCCTTTAAAGCCTAGTCTAAATTGTTCACATATTTCTGTATGTTGTTGTTTTAGATTTAGCTACTCAGGATGAAATGTCCATGTAGTGAGCTATGGTGAGCTCGTAATTGAATTCGGTTATTCGCGATAACCTTGTTACTGTGATATTTGGGTCAAAGTTTTAAATGGAGGTGGAATTTCCTCCTTAATCTGTGAAAAACTTGGAGGTATTTGAACCTGTACAATAGGTAGAGCAGTGGCAGTTTTTGTTAGTGAGTCTGCCTTTTCATAACCATCTATGTCAATGTGACTTGGTACACAATTTAGGATGATTGACAGCCCTAGATTATGGGCTTCTTTTCCTATATATGTTGGATTTCTGTGAGGAGTTGTATATTATCTCTGTGCTGACTGGATAACAATGCCTGGAGCGAAGATTTAGAGTCGGTATGATATATATATATAAGTTTGTGATTTCAGGTTTTTAGTTAAAATATACTGGACTATGATAAGGAAGTATACTTGCTGCTTGGTCAGTAAGCTACTAAGGACGTGGCCTTAATAACCCTTCAAAGGTTGATAGGCTTTAAGCCCAAAACCATAATTCGACATCAAGCACATATTTTGAAGACGTGAAATCATGTGAAATCATGAACACAAATCTTTTTACCAATTGCTAATACTGGAAGCTTAAAACAAGAGTCGAAAGTAAGGAAATTACCATATGAACAGACAGTCGAATACCAGACCTATATTTTGATGAAGTTTGCCTCACAGTGGAACGACATGGCGATTCAGTGGGAAGGTGAGGACCTGATAGTGAAGCTCTCGACCATCCTCAGGTTCTGTTGCGATCCTGCAGGAGGGGACGAGCCCCCAGGGTACCACAGGGGTTTAGTGGTGGACGAACCCCAAGCCCCCAGCGACCACGGGCCATGGGCGCACCTCTTGCTCAACCATCGTCTGGTTAGTTCTACAGTACAAAGTCATCATATTTATAATTTTGTGATTGCAGAAAATATTGTCCTGTTTGTGGGTAGAAGCTAAGAACATGTATATATTGGCCTGTATACATGTGTGATTGAAAGGTTACGATATGCATATGGGCTCTCTACATATGAAGCTGAAAGCCTACATTTATATGGACCTGTATACATGTGTGACAAAGTTTGCGATATCTATCTGGGTTTGTTTACATGTGTGACTGGAAGCAAATGATATGTGTATGGACCTGTAAACATGTTATTTATATAATTCCAATATTAGTTTTTCCATGTATCAGACTCGATGCTTTCTAATATCACTTTTTCTAGTGTTAAGCCTCCCTGATCATTATTTCTACTACAGCTATTATTATGCTACTGGTATTTTTGCTAATGCTACCATCACGACCTCGTGCAGGAAAGTCCTCGCTACACCATCCTGCCCACTATCACGGCTGTGTCTCCCTGGGACGACACCGAGCTCCACGACCAGGTCTTCGGCGGGAGTAACGCTGTAAACCACGTCATCGTACCGACCTCCGTACTGCCTTCCCTAGAAGTTACGACGCCCTCCGATCTTCAAGCTTTAATGGCTAGAGAAGCCACCATCAACGCCACCCACAGGTTCTATGATGCCCTCCGAGCTGTCCTGCACGGGGACGGCCTAGGAACCATTATTGAGCTCGGGTGAGTGGTGCAGATGGTGAAGCATGGTTATTGATGGCTTTGGGTTTAGTCCTGTATATGAGGACAGCTATAGTACGGTATTGAATTAAGATGTTTAAATTTATGCTGATCGCGTGTATTGAAGCTGTCGTTCCTGTTCATAAACTGGGCAAAACCAGGTTTTTGAACATCTAAACAACACAAAATTTACATTTACAGAGAGATAATTTGTATTTGGTTCGATAGGCAGGAGCGGGAAGTGAAGGTGGACGCGGCGGGAATAATCACTCCTCACCTGCAGGAAGCCTCCCATCCACACCTCAGCCACAACAACGATCCACATCACAGCCCTTCCATGTCACCCCTTATCCAGGTCAGTTTCAGGTATTCCAGGACCGTACGTCATAACTAGCGAAGCTCTTGAAGCAACCTGTTCTCTCAACTTTATCTACCTCGTTTTAGGACAAAATAAACAGACCTTGATGACGTTTCAGCTCATCTGTACCTAATTGCTTCTCTTGGGCATCTCATCACAGATGTGTTCTCCGGGTGTCATCAAATGTGAGTCATTAGCAGTGAATTGTAACACATGTGCTCTTGCAGGTGTGCTATTACAGATGAGTTCTTGCAAGTGTCATTGCAGATGTGTTCTTGCAGGTGTGTGCAGCGCTGGGTGTATTGGTGGTGGTGATGGTGGTCCTATTCCACACTCATCACTTCCGTCGAGACTGTGGGACGGAGCAACGGGCTCTCCGTCGCCTTGCACAACACTACCATGTGACGCGCGACGGGGACCCAGATGATGTTGAGAGGCACGCTGACACTGACGTGACGGACGTGACGCTCTGAGGCGACAGACGTGACACTGAAGTGTCGGTCTCAGGTGAGGAAGGTGGAACTCTGAGGTGACGGACGTGACGTTCGAAGACAGTGGTTCCCATCCAGGGATCCACAGACCTCCGTGGATCCACAATCAAAGTTCAAAATTTCTAGAAGCTCCAGGCTTTCATCCATCACTTGCAAGGTTTGAAGAACAGTTTGAGTGATTATTTTTCTCTTCCAAGCGTCAACAAATAAGTGGACCGGATACATTTCACTTAGACGTAACAAATGTAAAATTCAACATCAAATGAAGAATATCGTCTTGTTGAATTTCCGAGTGATACCTCACTGAGGTCAAATTTCATTCGGTACAAATTATCAGACTTTTGATTGCATGTGAAAACGGAGTCCCCAGAACTGGCATTCAAAGCCCTGAGATATTTAATGCCATTCTCCACTACATATTTATGTGAGGAAGCTTTCTCCAGGCTGCTTTATTTAAAATCAAAATACAGAAACAGGATGAATGTGGGACTTGATTTACAACTTAAGCTGTCTGGCATTGAACCTGAAATTCGCAATGTGGCGTCAACAAAGCAGTATCAACCATCTCGTTCAACTTGTAAGTTTTTTTTTTAATACTGTCATTTATTTAATTGCATACTAGTTACATGTGTCTGTCATTTGAGGTAAGAAACTGGGAAAACGAGTTCCCTGCTAGTTAATTAATAAAATTGTCTTGCTTGAGAACACAGTTCTTTCAAAAACTGAGGTCCGTGGGAATGGGGGAATTATCAGGGGAAAGCGCCAAGGCATTACGACTATATAGCACTTGGAAAGGGTTCAGGAAAAGTATTTGGGATGGGACGGGGAGAAGGAATGGAAAAATTCAGTAAATACAATATGTCTTTGGTAGTAAAAAGAGTGGGAAAAGCAACTCTAAGGTGACTGGCTTTAAAAATCACCAATAATTTTTTTTATTTATTTTTATTGTTACCTATTGTTTCAAAGTTACAGTTATATACATTGGTATTAAATGTTTAACTATATACGTATTTTAGAGGTTTTCTCTCCTATGGCATACACTGCCATCTGAAACAAATACATTAGGTTTTAAGTCGACTGCCCTAACCAACGTGGACAAATTAGTTTTTTTTAGGCTTTTACTGTTTACTGCTTATCTGGATTTAGCTGAATACCTCTATTTTAAACCGGGTAAATATGCTCCTGTTGTATTTATTTCTCTAGACTCGTTTATTCAGGTTTGGAACTAAAACAACTCTACAGAATGATTCCAGTAAAATTTTCAGAGAAGCATCTCGATCATGTAATATCCTAAAGGGCCTATGTTTTCTAGTTTATTTTCTATCATATGTGACTATTCACTTATACAATGCCAACCAGTACATATGCATTTTATTGTCCTCCATGGGCAAGGTTAGAGACCTGTTAGATAACCCGTATCTAACCTTGTAGCGAGTTATTGAGCACTCAACCACAACAGATAATTAAGGAGTTGCCTGCCAAGTTTTCAGAAGCTTAACATAGATCTGAAAGTCAGAATAAATGTCATGCTTTGTAAATTTAGTCATCTTGATATCTGGTCGAAAATACTGTTATTAAACAGTATTTGGTATTTGGACGGAATTGAGTTCTTATAGGTCAGGGGATACCTATGATTCAAGAATTATTATCACACAGATGACTTGTTGACAAGGCACTTAAATCCTGTTGAGGTTAGATCTTAGTTACACGAGACGTGTACAGAGTGTCGTGTGTACAGTGAGTGTCCTGTGTACAGTGAGTGTCGTGTGTACAGAGTACAGTGTGTACAATGAGTGTCGTGTGTACAGTGTGTCGTGTGTACAGTGAGTGTCGTGTGTACAATAAGTGTCGTGTGTACAATAAGTGTCGTGTGTACAAAGTGTGATCTAGGCTGAACCATGACTCCCTGATAATGCAAAACACTATTAATCTCTTAAAATTATATATTATTTCAATGTTACTGTCACAAAAAAGTTTAGGAATTTTAAGCTATGTTTGTCTTATATGCCGCAAATGTAATTTTGTGCTCTGTTTTATGTAACAATTATATAAGTAAAATACCTCTATATTTTAAATAAAGTAATCTAATCTAAATTCAGATTACTAGGCTGTAATTGTTATTGCATGGATTATTCAAGATAACTAGGCTTTATAATTATTACTGAATAAAATATTTAAGGTAATTATGCTACAATTATTAGTTACATAAAATATTTAAGATAATTAGACTTTAATTGCATAGAATATTTAAGATATTCGGCTTCTTTTTCATTATTGCACAGAATATGAAAGATTACTAGGCTGTATTGATATTATTGCATACAATATCAAAGATTATTAGGCTGTATTTTTACTATTGCAAACAACATTTATACAAAAATGTTATACCTACCCGTTAATGCACGATATAAATATCAGGCTTGTGTATGTAGTATTGCATCGGGTCTGAATAAGGCATACTCTCTAAATATATACACGATATACACACACATATATCATATACATATATGTGTATATATCACATATTCGTGACATATACACGAATATTTAAAATTCCTGTAACATTAAATGCTTTTTGAAAATAAATATTTGTATACAGTAATTTAAAAAAAAGTGTCGTCAAGAGGTGAATAAACTTCATCCAGAACATTAGGTTAAATTTCGTCCAGATGAACAGCTTGAACTTTGTCAGGATGTCATTAAACTTAGTTCAAAGCAGGTAAGATTTTTTCCAAAACAGTTGGGCAAGACTTGCCCAAAATAGGATAACCTTCGCCATGTTATGCTTGCAGCTTCTTCAGTTCCTCTTGGTCCTCTGCCTTACCAGACCTAAGAAAAAAACAAATACGTTTTGTAAAAATGTAGGCCGAGAAGTGCGTTCTGGCTACTAGGTACGACATATATATATATATATATATATATATATATATATATATATATATATATATATATATATATATATATATATATATATATATATATATATATATATATTTTTTTAATATATATAAACATTTATATATTTATATAAATATATATATATTTATTTATATTTATATATTATATTTATATTATATTTTTAATGGGGATCTTTTTTTTAATTGGAACTATTTAGATATACAGTACTGAATAGCCATGCGGGAGCGGCTGGGATATTTGGATACATGGTATGCAAAAGAGGCTACCATTTTTTAATTCAGGCCTATTAGTCACTACGTTTTTATGTCATCCTTGATGAAATTAGGCATAATGTTCTAACGTGTATCCTAATCTAATATATTACACTCTGGTATTTCTATACACAGTATACAAATCGGTTTTGACGTTCTCCACAGCGTTAATCAACAACTATGATATCACAGTTCTGATTTATTTATATAAAATATAAAAAAAAGAGATCTCTAGTTTAACTCTTCAGAGTCTCTTGAGAAAATAAATAAAGCTCATCAAGAACTCACTTCTTTTGGTTGAAAAGCCCCTCCAGGTCGCTAATGGTGTCGGGCAGTCCCATGCCTAACGTCTCCGGCAGGGGGAAGAGGGAAAATCCGGCCAGGAAAGACATCACTCCAAAAATTACCGAGGGCAGCCATGGCACTAACGGGCCCTGTGGAGACCACCGCCATGAGAGAGGGTTAGCATTGGCGTTCAGGTTTCGTTTTAGCAATTGTTTAACTCCTTCACCACTATAGTGTGTCCATGTGTCGTGTCCTTTAGAGTGTGTCCATGTGTCGTATCCTTTAGTGTGTCTTGTAAAAATTATTTGTATTTGTAGTATATGGGTGAAGCATTTAGGGCAGCCCGTCTCTATAAACACTTAGGAAGAACTCGTTAAAACAGCCTCCATCTATCTGTTAATGAATAGAAAACACTTGACTCCCAACTAATTACGTTCGAAGTATTCTAGGACAGAGCGGTTTGCTTTCTTCCTATGTTTGAATACACAGTACGTTAAAATAGTCGAACGAGTCTGGAGTTGGCACCAGCCCGGAGAAGCCTATCCTGAGTACAGGTTGCCCACGTACTGCAAATATCCTAGTTCAAACTATACAATAAATGTTTATATCTATTAATTTTAATTAACATTCGAGAAAACTTTCATTTTGGTTAGACAGAATATTGCAAACGCGTTCTTATTGTCAGCTATAGCTTGGACGAGCATAATCCAAGAATGGATTGCTTCAAGTACAATTTTTCATTACTAAAACACTGGAGCGGCGGCTGTTTTAAGGAGATTTTTCGTGTTTATGAGGACGGACTGGTAATTACCATTAGAATAAAATAGCGCTCCCAACAAAACGAAAATATTATTCCTGTATTTGTTTATAGGACGAACATGGCTTATATTGTATAGGTTAAGTAGACGCGGGACTCACAAGGAAGTCGGCGAGGTAAGGAGAGCAGGTGGCCGCGATCTGACCTGCCACGAATACCACCGCCACTCCCTGCAGGCGGACCTCCGTCGGCAGGAGTTCCGCCTCGTACACAAATACAATCATGAAGACTGCGCTGATAGCCAGCTTCCCGATCATGGCCAGCAGCATCACCAGCCACGAGATGTCTGGGGGAGGATCAATCTGTTAAAGAATCTGTGTGGAGCAAAAGGAGTTTAGCACAGACGGTTCACAACCTATTGGACACTGGTTGTGTCCTAGCACAGGGACAGAGACGTTTGGCCACGTTTCTTTACCTGATGTCTCTGCTCACCTACACGTGGGAGTTATTCAGATGTACGTTGCAGCCTGGGAAAGGTCAGTCGTTGGTTTAGGGGACCTTCTCTGACAACGGGAAGCCATATTATTGATGGGTTTAAGGCTACTTCAGGAGGGTTATTAAGGCCACCTCAATAACTTATTTACCAACCACACAATAACATTGCCCAGGATTAAAGCATCTTCTCAATGTATATACTCCGAGAAGTAGGTTACACCTTTCAATGTATATACACCGAGAAGCTGGCTACACCTTTCAATGCATATATATATATATATATATATATATATATATATATATATATATATATATATATATATATATATATATATATATATATATATATATATATATATTCCTTCGGAAATCATATTTATTAATGTTAGGTACTAGGGGTCAACCAGTTGTGCAGTGGTTATTTCACTCTAGAAGCATACTATTTCTTGGAAATATATTGCTTGTTAATATCTTCAACAAAACAAAATAAATATAAATCTTATATTGATAAAAGCCCTATAAATGCAAATCATCTTAGAATCTACCTGGTGGCGTGAATGCAAGAGCGAGGATGGATGCACCGCTAATGAACCAGCCGATTATTATTGGTAGCTTCCTGCCCCAGCGGGCGATGATGGGGGCAGTGACGGTGTATCCGGGCACCTCCATCAGGCCTCCGATGATGATGTAGAGGAAGGGGTCGGCGCTGTAGGTGCTGCCACTGAGGCTGAGCCCGCAGTAGACCAGGGAGCAGGTGAAGATGTTGAGGCTCTGAACCAAAGTGATGAGTCTGATCTTGGGGGTGCTGTGGGGGGGGGGGGGGGGGGGAATACACTTGTAATATTACAGGAAACTGCAAAAGACCTATTGTACCATACGAGACAGCATGAAACTTTCCAGTGGTTAAAACAACTTTAGAATCTCATCTATTATATTAATTGATAATTTGTATCATAAATCAACACTCATACTTTTAAACCATTACTTACCAAGGTTCTTTGAAGTAATCCAGGCTAGCGGCTGGGCTAACTTAAATGTCTGGTTACAAACCATTCATTATCATGAAGCCTAGTATCTTATTCAATTTGCCACGGAATTCTCCACGTGTTAATTTAAAAAGACACCCTGGGGCCAGATCCACGAAGCAGTTACGCAAGCACTTACGAACCTGTACATCTTTTCTCAATCTTTGGCGGCTTTGTTTACAATTATTAAACAGTTAATGAGCTCCGAAGCACCTGGAGGCTGTTTATTACAATAACAACATTTGACTGGGAAGTTTTCATGCTTGTAAACTGTTTAATAAATGTAACCAATGCCATCCAAGATTGAGGAAAGGTGTACAGGTTCGTAAGTACTTGCGTAACTGCTCTGTGAATCTGGCCCCTGGTACATATATCCCCCATGGGGTTAATATCCATATACACCCTTTATTTCGAGTAAAAGGTTTTTTATTATTTTTTTTAAGGTTTGAGTTAGTGTATGCAACGTATGTATTAATAAATAGAAATAAGATGATGTTTTGTAGTAATTTTAATAATAACTGGAAAATGTTGTACCTGAGGAGAACTGGTGTAGTGAAGGAAAACCATCTCTTCCCCTCGGCCTCTCCCTTGAGCTTCCCAGGAGACTTAGTCTTGCCCATCTCAGCCTGTTGAAGGACATGATTATTAATTCGTTTTGTCTGGGAAGCTTTGTATCAAGGTCCCCTAAGGTTGAACTGACCCTTCCCAAGATGAAACTACAACAGTTGAATAATTCTCGGGAACAGGCTTTAGGCGAATGGAAATGTGCTTAACCCTTTCTGTCCTGCCCGGGAATCGAATCTAAGATCCCCGATTGTGAGTTGAGAACACAGTCAACTGTACTACGAGACACAAATAAGCCAACTACAGCTGGGCTGACCATCGCTATAAACGGGGGTTCAGTATTATGGAATTCTTTACATCAGTTGATGTTAGTGGAGTGAATACCTCAGCCTGTATGTCAGTCATCATGATGAGTAGTTCGTCTTCCGGTGGCAGGCTGGAGTGGTTGAGTCTGGCAGCCCTCTGTAAGGCTTGTAAAGCCTGCTTGTGGCGCCCTCGGACGATCAACCACCTCGGGGACTCATTCAGGAGGCTAGCGGCGGGAGACAACGGGTATTAATAACTAAATCACAACAATCTTGAACAAATACGAAGTCTTTACCCACCAAGATGAGACTGATGTACTAATAACTAATATTACATAATTACATTTCTGACTGGAGTGAACAAGTGTACAGAATTGCAAATCAAACGCTATTAGACATAAATTGAAAAACTAAATCCTAATATTCATACACAACTAAACTATGACGTAGGCTGCAGACAATAGAGCAAGATATAACCACTCCCAGTGAGCAGGAGTCCCGGATATTGGCTGTAAATAGCAGGCGAGGATGATTTAGTTGTCTGAGCGCCAACTTACCGTCAAGAGTCTTCTGTAGCTCGTAACTCAATCTTGAGGGTTTAGTATATGGTTGAAGTTAAAGTGACGAGGTTTTAGAATGACTGACTTAGATTAAGCCACCTCAAGAGGTGGCACGGGCATGAATAGTCCGTAAATTCGAGGTCTTAGGCATATCATGGAATACATACACCGAGCGGTGTACACCGCATTTCTGACATAGGTGTATATATACACCGGCATTTCATAATTTAACACTTTACGGGCTATTCATGCCCGTGCCACCTCTTGTGTGTGACTTAATCTTTATCAATCAATCAATAATTTAATAGTTCACTCCTGCTGACATCATTGCTAAATCCAGTATATGGTATCGTATTATGGCCGAAACTGTGTGTAATTATTGTGGTTTTATATAAAACACAGTTACTGTACCTACAATTAAACCACTTTAACTTGTCTCTATATAGTATTATTATTGTTGTTATTATTATTATTATTATTATTATTATTATTATTATTATTTTTCAAAGCCGAGGAGTTGCTCTTTCATATTTTGCGGTGCGTTTCATGCGTAAACAACAGCGCCATCTATATAAACAAGACAACAGACGCCCGCCACGCTTGATAGTCTCATCATGTAACTGCAGAATGTATTCTTCTACATTAACCGGGCCGACATCCTCAAGTATAATGGTTTGGTGTCCACCTCCGTCAGTCATCTCACACATACACAAACAAAACATACAAAGGCAAGTCATTCGTGTTATTTTTTTATTTAGAGTAGACGACCCATTTTGGGTCGGATGTGTCATGGCTAATTATCGAGGTATAATTGCAGGTGGTAACAATTGATAGTGTTAGGTGACATTAATTGTTGGTGTCAGGTGGTAATAATTGATGGTGTCAGGTGGTGACAATTGATAGTGTCAGGTGATAATAATTTATGGTGTCGGGTGATAATAATTGATGGTGTCAGGTAGTAACAATTGATGGTGTCAATTGGTAACTATTGACGGTGTCAAGTGGTAACAATGGACGCTGTCAGATAATATATTTAATTCAAATTAACATAGCTGAGCTTGATTTCAACACCATAAGGAAACTGACATAGAAAACATTTGTGATGTACAATATGGCATTCTGCCTGATGATACACATACTGTATTGAGATGCAATATTCCTATTTTCAAGGTCAAAAAGCTGGTGCAGTGTTACACATATTATTTTGGGCTTATAGGAGGTGTGGATTGACAAGCGGATTGACACTACAAGGAGTACTTACAAAAGTATTGGTACTGCAAGGTATACTTACAAGAGGACTGGCACCACAAGTAACAGGGGGAAGGAGGCGACGGCCTGCAGGTACCTCCAGTCTCTGATGCAGTAAGCTAGGGCACCCCAGGCCATCATGCCCAGTGCCCAAGGGAAGCCCAGCAGCACCCCAACCGCTGACCTGTGCTTCACCTCGCACACCTCCATCGCTGTCAAGGAAACATTCACGTAAATGCCAACTAGGATTTGACGAAGGTGGGGTTTGAAGAGGGCAATACATTCATAGTACATAGACAGTACATTGGCTTTTGAATTTGAAAATGTAAATTTTCTGACTGTTTCGTCTCCAAGATTTGGTGATCCCAGTGATGTCTGGATTCTCAACCTTAGTGTATCCACACGATTCATTTAATTTAATAGGCTTCTGGCGTTTGTTTAGAAGCACTTTATACTTCATATACTCAGGCGAGGGGGCTGAGAGATTGTTCCTGCATTGTGTACGAAAATTATTCCATACATTGTCCCCATGGTTTTGTACCCGCCTGCCGTTGGAGATGTAAGTTCTGCCTCACTGAGGGAAGGACAACATGCTCTCCTCCCTCTGCTATTTTGAACACGCTCGAGAAAGTGAGGTACTGTCCTGTTTTCTGTTTTGGATCCTCTGGTAGGTTAGGATAAGGGCACTTTATATTGACCGTTTTCTTGACGTTAGGAAACCTTAGGAGGACGGGCTGAGGGAAGATGTAAATGATGTTATACCCAGACCTTTTGGGTTTCATGTATTTCTGAGTAGCTTCCTCAGTTCTCAAGATTTGTGATGGTGAATGAATATATGCCTGAGCAATATAGAATGAAATTAATGTCACTTAACCAGATCCAAGAGAAGGTGTACCAGTTTGATACAAAAACAGTACCAATATTTAAAATAAGCAACGGATACTCTCTTCTCTCATGTATATTTTATTTGATCTCATTCAAATAACCAGATAACGAAACATACCATAATTCAAATTTACTTCTAAGAAAAACTTTTTGAAGTTTTGAAGAATTTTCAAAAGAAAAAGATTTTTTTAAGAATTTTCGAGTATACATTTCCTAGCTGATTTAAAATTTGGGGAAACACGTAAGGTTAAGTTTAATTTCTAGTTTATTGAGAAGACCATTCTGAAGCAATTACTGGTAATATTTAAGAGACCTAAATAAGATTATCACATACAAATTTTATTTAGATTCTGATTAGTTACATAAATATTGTTTAATAATTATGTTATCTTGTTTGACTGATAGCAGTTGTCTAATGTCACTTAGATAGCGAGGGATAATTACATCAGGAAGTATAATGCACTTCTCGGTGTATATACACTGGGGAGGGTATACTAAAGTATACTTGTTTGTTGATCAGTAAGCTATTGTGGTGGCCTTAATAACCCTCTAGAGATTGATAGGCCTTTAAATCCAACACCAGACCAAATACCTACGTAACAGACACCCAGTGTCAACCAGCCAACAGTTGACCCAGTGTCACCCAGCCAACAGTTGACCCAGTGTCACCCAGCCAACAGCAGCTCAGTGTCACCCAGCCAACAGCTGCTCAGTGTCACCCAGCCAACAGCTGTTCAGTGTCACCCAGCCAACAGCTGGCCAGTACTACCCATATGAGCCACAAGGTGAAGGCGAGTGCTACTCACAGAGCATGTAAAGTGTAGCGGTCGAGAGAGAGCCCATGACGAAGCGGAGAGCGAGGATGAGTTCGAACACGGTGATGAAGCAGATGGCGACGCAGGTCACGGCGTAGAGTCCCATAGTCGCCACTACCACCACCTTCCGCCCGTACCTAGAGCAAGCCTCATTAGCCGCAGAAAGTGGGAATTTTGGCGTGTTTACACTCACTCTCACACTCTCACACTCTCACTCTCTCACTCTCTCACTCTCACTCTCACTCTCACTCTCACTCTCACTCTCTCACTCTCTCACTCTCTCACTCTCTCTCTCTCACTCTCACTCTCACACTCTCACTCTCACTCTCACACTCTCACACTCTCACTCTCACACTCTCACTCTCACACTCTCACTCTCACTCTCACTCACACTCTCACTCTCTCTCACTCTCACACTCTCTCTCACTCTCACACTCTCACTCTCACACTCTCACTCTCACACTCTCACTCTCACACTCTCACTCTCACACTCTCACTCTCACACTCTCACTCTCACACTCTCACTCTCACACTCTCACTCTCACACTCTCACTCTCACTCTCACTCTCACTCTCACTCTCACTCTCACTCTCTCTCTCTCTCTCTCTCTCTCTCTCTCTCTCTCTCTCTCTCTCTTTGGGGCCGTACTTATCAACTATGAGCCCATCCGTATCATTTATAAAGTCCAATTTATCAATTACGAGGTCGTATCTATTCACTATGGGTCCGTACTTATCAGGGTACAGCCATACTTACCCCGCTATGGCCGTACATATCAATATTGGACCGTACTTTTCAGTATGGGGCCGTATTTATCAACTACGACGTCGTACATATCAACTACGATGCCGTACTAATTTGTTATGCGGCCGTACTTATCAACTCTTAGGTCGTAATTATGAATTACGATGTCGTACTTATCAGCTATGTAGCCACTGATGAGGGAGCTGAAGATGGTAGAGAACATGTAGATGCTCTGGTAGGTAGCTCGTAGGTAGTCCTTGCCACACACCAGACCGAACTGTAAGACACACAGTAACACCCCTGTAAGGCACGGTGCGTCAATGCAACAAACTGCAGAACAAACTGAAATAATAAATCTACAAGTGGCCATTTGAGTTTAACTTGAGCCAGTGCAAGGCAATAAAGCTTCATGCTGGGAGAAGAATCGTAGAACCATTGATAATGACATTGGGTCTGATATCACACCGAACCTGTTTCCTGAGCCAACATTCAACAGATAAAATCACTGCTTGTACAAGGTGGCCAACATGAGAACTGCTTTCAGAAATCTGAAGAAGCACTCATCCAGAACCTTGTATACCACATATGTCAGACCAATTCTAGAATATGCGGCGCCAACATGGCATCCTTATATTATTAAACACAACTATAATCTAGAGACAGTTCAAAGACATGTTATCAGACTTAAGAGTCAACCCAAGAGGATACAAAAGTCTTACAAATCGTAACTGACATCTTCACTTATAAGATGAAGATTACACTTCACTTCATGTGTAAATCAGACAAATCCTCGCCCACATCAGAAGCAGAACATTATAATCTATTTATATCAATAAAACAGGACTTCAGTTTGTCAGTCCGCGGTTGGAGGCTAGCACCTAGCCTCACACAACTTTATATGGTGATGATGTGTCTGTAGGGAGTCGGGGGTCGACCCCGCCCCAATAGGATTGGAAACTATCAGGAGAGAGCCCCAAGCCATTACGACTATACAGCACTAAGGAAGGGATCAGCATAACAGTGACACTTCTGGATGTTACACCACCAAACACCACATTCACCCCCAAACATCTACCACCTCCGGGCTATTCATGCCCGTGCCACCTCTTGTGGCTTAAACTTCAACAACAACAACAAACAGGATAACTATTAGATGGAACGGGGGAGGGAGGAAGGAACGGTGCCCAACCACTTGTGGACGGTCGGGGATTGAACGCCGACCTGCATGAAGCCAGACCGTCGCTCTACCGTCCAGCCCACTTGGCTGGGCGTCGGAGGTGGTACAGAAGGTGTACCTCAGAGGTGAAGGTGGTACTGAAGGTGTACCTCAGAGGTGAGGGTGGTACTGAAGGTGTACCTCAGAGGTGAGGGTGCTGGAGAAGACGGATGTATCGAAGTCCCACTCGGTGCATGGCTCCTCCTCCAGCGCCCCCGAGGACGACCTGTTGACCGTGTAGCTGCAGGAGTCTCTGCCGGGGGGGAAGAGGAGTCAGCTGGTCGACAACGGCTTCAGCCAGGAGGGGGGGGGGGAGGAACAGGAGGGAAGAGTGGTACAAGTGCCAGCTAGGAGACCCTCCAGTAGTCAGATGGGAGTCTACACTACATTAGTCAGATATGAGTGAGTCTACCATACAGAAGTCAGTTGTGTCTACCATATAGGAGTTAGGTGTGGGCCTGCCGTGCAAGAGTCATGTGTGAGTCTACCATATAATACTGAGATACGAGTCTGTAACGCGGAATGGGGTTTGACTCGGCTACGTCATAAGCGGCCAACGACCTAGTTACTCCATCCTACTCAACATGACGTCAGTTTCTAATGCCGGTATATGAACCCTGATCTTGACTTTACTAAACCTGTTAACCCAACCTAAGGTCTAAACCAGATTGGTTATTACAACAATTTCAGTATTATTGAATACAATATTAAATTTAACTTGAATTTCTCCACATTACTGGGTTACCAAGATGGAGTTTTTGGGGTAGAGGGTGGGGGGGGGAGGTGAGACGAGCCTCTGCTGGCGACCTGACTTTGGTCGGCCGAGCGGACAGCACACTGGACTTGTGATCCTGTGGTTCCGGGTTCGATCCCGGGCGCCGGAGAGAAACAATGGGCAGAGTTTCTTTCACCCTATGCCCCTGTTACCTAGCAGTAAAATAGGTACCTGGGTGTTAGTCAACTGTCACGGGCTGCTTCCTGGGGATGGAGGCCTGGTCGAGGACCGGGCCGCGGGGACACTAAAGCCCCGAAATCATCTCAAGATAGGTCGAAGATGCCAAATTTACCCTAGTCATCTACCCTCGAACGAAAGAGATTTGATTCTTTACTCATAAATGAAGTTAAATTCATCTACGTACTTGACAAAAGAGGTTATTAATTACAGTTACTTTAATACCTGAATTTCTCAGAAGTGATACTTTAAATACAAGGATCAAATATTATCACCTCAAATTAAGAAATTAGATCACGGTGATGAATCCATTGGAACCTCTCGGCCAGGACTCACCGAATATATACGAAACATGTACATCTTTTCAACAATCTTGACGGCACTTATTAAATAGTTATTGATCAAGTTCAAGTATGTTTATTGAGACAAGACAATACATCTCCAAGGGATAGAGTAGCTTAGGCTATTTTTGCCTTAGGCTATTTCTGCCTTAGGCTATTTCTATCTTAGGCTATTTCTGCTTTAGTCTATTTCTGCCTTAGGCTATTTCTGCTTTAGGCTATTTCTGCCTTAGGCTATTTCTGCCTTAGGCTATTTCTGCCTTAGGCTATTTCTGCTTTAGGCTATTTCTGCCTTAGGCTATTTCTGCCCTAGGCTATTTCTGCCTTAGGCTATTTCTGCCTTAGGCTATTTCTGCCTTAGGCTATTTCTGCTTTAGGCTATTTCTGCCTTAGGCTATTTCTGCCTTAGGCTATTTCTGCCTTAGGCTATTTCTGCCTTAGGCTATTTCTGCCCTAGGCTATTTCTGCCCTAGGCTATTTCTGCCCTAGGCTATTTCTGCCTTAGGCTATTTCTGCCTTAGGCTATTTCTGCCTTAGGCTATTTCTGCCCTAGGCTATTTCTGCCCTAGGCTATTTCTGCCCTAGGCTATTTCTGCCTTAGGCTATTTCTGCCTTAGGCTATTTCTGCCTTAGGCTATTTCTGCTTTAGGCTATTTCTGCTTTAGGCTATTTCTGCCCTAGGCTATTTCTGCCTTAGGCTATTTCTGCCTTAGGCTATTTCTGCCTTAGGCTATTTCTGCCTTAGGCTATTTCTGCCTTAGGCTATTTCTGCCTTAGGCTATTGATCTCCGATGCGCTCTGAGGCTCTCTATAACAATAATAAACCTTGGATTGTGCAGTTTCTAAGCTCGTAAACTGCTTAATTGCCGCAATTAATTAAACAATCAATTAAATCAATTAATTAAACAAACTGCCGCTCTGATTAAGATAAGATGTAAAGGTTTCGTAAGGGGGGTTGCGTCAATGATCCTGGTTACAGTGAAGGGCGAGTGAGGCTAGAGGATGTGGAGGCACCTACTGGGCCACCTGGAGGAGGAGCTGGTCGTCTCCTTGAGGTGGTCGGCAGGTGAAGTTGAGCGCTGGCGCCAGGAACACTCCGTTGAAGGTCTGCGCTGGCAGTATCAGGTACCCTGGTTGGTGGTTGTGGTAGTGTTGGTGGTTGTGGTAGTGGTAGTGGTTGTGGTAGTGGTTGTGGTAGTGTTGGTGGTTGTGGGAGTAGTAGTATTAATGGTTGTGGGAGTGTTGGTGGTGGTGATGATTAGTTGTGGTGGTTGTGGTTGTGTTGGTGGTTGTGGTAGTGTTGGTGGTTGTGGGAGTGTTGGTGGTTGTGGCAGTGGTAGTGTTGGTGGTTGTGGGAGTGTTGGTGGTTGTGGCAGTGGTAGTGTTGGTGGTTGTGAGAGTAGTAGTATTGATGGTTGTGGGAGTGTTGGTGGTGGTGATGATTAGTTGTGGTGGTTGTGGTAGTGTTGGTGGTTGTGGTAGTGTTGGTGGTTGTGGGAGTGTTGGTGGTTGTGGCAGTGGTAGTGTTGGTGGTTGTGGGAGTGTTGGTGGTTGTGGTAGTGTTGGTGGTTGTGGGAGTGTTGGTGGTTGTGGCAGTGGTAGTGTTGGTGGTTGTGGGAGTGTTGGTGGTTGTGGTAGTGTTGGTGGTTGTGGGAGTGTTGGTGGTTGTGGTAGTGTTGGTGGTTGTGGGAGTGTTGGTGGTTGTGGTAGTGTTGGTGGTTGTGGGAGTGTTGGTGGTTGTGGTAGTGTTGGTGGTTGTGGGAGTGTTGGTGGTTGTGGTAGTGTTGGTGGTTGTGGGAGTGTTGGTGGTTGTGGTAGTGTTGGTGGTTGTGGGAGTGTTGGTGGTTGTGGTAGTGTTGGTGGTTGTGGTAGTGTTGGTGGTTGTGGTAGTGGAGTGTTGGTGGTTGGTGTTGTGGTAGTGTTGGTGGTTGTGGGAGTGTTGGTGGTTGTGGTAGTGTTGGTGGTTGTGGGAGTGTTGGTGGTTGTGGCAGTGGTAGTGTTGGTGGTTGTGGGAGTGTTGGTGGTTGTGGTAGTGTTGGTGGTTGTGGGAGTGTTGGTGGTTGTGGTAGTGTTGGTGGTTGTGGGAGTGTTGGTGGTTGTGGTAGTGTTGGTGGTTGTGGGAGTATTGGTGGTTGTGGCAGTGGTAGTGTTGGTGGTTGTGGGAGTGTTGGTGGTTGTGGTAGTGTTGGTGGTTGTGGGAGTATTGGTGGTTGTGGGAGTATTGGTGGTTGTGGCAGTGGTAGTGTTGGTGGTTGTGGGAGTGTTGGTGGTTGTGGTAGTGTTGGTGGTTGTGGGAGTATTGGTGGTTGTGGGAGTGGTAGTATTGATGGTTGTGGGAGTGTTGGTGGTGGTGATGATTAGTTGTGGTGGTTGTGGTAGTGTTGGTGGTTGTGGGAGTGGTAGTGTTGGTGGTTGTGGGAGTGGTAGTGTTGGTGGTTGTGGGAGTGTTGGTGGTGGTGATGATTAGTTGTGGTGGTTGTGGTAGTGTTGGTGGTTGTGGGAGTGGTAGTATTGATGGTTGTGGGAGTGTTGGTGGTGGTGATGATTAGTTGTGGTGGTTGTGGTAGTGTTGGTGGTTGTGGGAGTGGTAGTGTTGGTGGTGGTGATGGTAGTGGTAGTGTTGGTGGTTGCGGGAGTGGTAGTGTTGGTGGTGGTGATGGTAGTGGTAGTGTTAGTAGCGGGTAGGTTTGCGGTGATACAGAAACATAAATTTCATTAGTTTTATAACAGTAATGTGACAGCAAGTCCAATATTAATATAAATATATATTATTTAAACATAAAACATTTGAACACATGTTCAATATAAATCTATGAACATGTGTGTGTGGACATTAATGTTTAGATGGTTCATTCTCTAACGGCCTTGGCGGCCATTTTACAATATGGCCGCCAGAAGTTTGTTTTGGTTTACTGACATGATGAGCATATCCACTCAGGCCCAGACAGGATTGACAGACACATAGGTCTAAAAATGTGCAACTTTTTAGACCTACTTTTTTAGACTCACAACCCATATTTAGACCCACAACAACAACAAATCCCTTATGATTTGGATAAAACAATTTGCATAATTAGGCTAATTTGGACAGTAAAACAAAGGATAAGGCTGAGAATGGAGAGTGGGTGACAGAGTAAGGGGTGAAGATGAGTATGAGGCAGTGTAAGGGGTGAAGATGAGTATGAGGCAGTGTAAGGCTAAAGATAGTGAGTATGAGGCTGGTTAAAGCTGTAAGGCTGGAAGTGACGTGTATGAGGCAAGGTAAGGTTGAAGATGATGAGTATGAGGCACAGATTAAAGCTGAAGGTGAGGAGAGAGGAGGGGTAACTAACACAGAAGATGACACATGTACTGGCTCTTCCATTACGGGCTACTCATCCCCGTGCCACCTCTTGGGTGGCTTAAGCGATCGGATATTACCGTAGAGACCGTGGGAGAGAACTCACAGTAGCAGGCGCTGAGGAAGTACATCATGTTCCACCTCCCGGTGCCCAGGCGGGTCAGGAGGACGTCGAACTTGCTCGTCATCTTGCTGTTGGACTCACACGCTGGTGGAGGGACTCACGCTGACGGAGGGACTCACGCTGACGGAGGGACTCACGCTGACGGAGGAAGTCACACGCAGACAGAGGGACTCACGCTGGTGGAGGAAGTCACACGCAGACCGGAGGAAGTCATACAGCTGACGAAGGCAACTACGGGAGTTGGAGAGGGAAAAAAAAGATTTAGAGCGAATATAATTCCAGCACTATCTCCAGAGGCACACATAGTCAGGGTTACATCGGCGGCACATGAGACGCTGGCAAACATTAAATCATTTAGAAACCTAAACTAGGGCTCTTTGAAGGCACTTTACACAGCCTTTGTTAGACCAATGTTGGAATATGCAGCACCGACCTGGCCTCCGTACTTTGAGAAGCAAAAAGCAAAAACTGAAAATACAAAGATTTGTAACAAGATTAGTGCCAGCTTGGATTCCTAGAATTTCATATTCATCAAGAACTGCAAATAAACCACTTTCAAAGATTCTTAACATTATTTGGGCAAAGTGCTTTGAAAATGGTGTTATCCCTGGCATGCTTAAAAAGATGGCGCCTCTTCACAAAGAAGGTAATTAAGGAGAAGCAAAACAACTTGAGCTCAATAGCATTAACTTCACACATCATAAAAGTCTTTGAAAGAGTTCCCTAGAAGCAAGATCACCAAACACCATGGCATCACAGCGTCTACATAACTATGGACAACATGGGTTCAGAGCAGGGCACACCTACCTCTCACGGTTGCTGGAGCACTATGATGTAGCCTTAGCTACCATGGAAGATAAGCACCTGAGGCCATGGAAGCACCTAAGTTTGTTTGTCTTACCTTGAGAGAAGGAGTGGGCGGACATGTATGATCCATGTCCACTTGGGTTATCCTGGTCTTGTGGGATACCACTTGGGTTATCCTGGTTTTGTGGGATACCACTTGGGTTATCCTGGTCTTGTGGGATACCACTTGGGTTATCCTGGTTTTGTGGGACACCACTTGGGTTGTCCTGGTCTTGTGGGACACCACTTGGGTTATCCTGGTCTTGTGGGATACCACTTGGGTTATCCTGGTCTTGTGGGACACCACTTGGGTTATCCTGGTCTTGAGAGACACACCACTTGGGTTATCCTAGTCTTGAGAGACAAAACAGTGTAAGCATCTTCCTGTTGACACAAATTAAGATATATATATATATATATATATGTGTGTGTATATCACGAAAATAAACACGTGATCAAGAATGTGACAATGTCAGATCACGGAGGAAAATGAAACAGGAATTTCCTTAAGTACTTTCGTATACTGTGATGCTGTGATGCTGTCTTCGGGCGGGCCACGAGGGCAAACAACCTCACAAACTAGACAGCAACCAGATAAAAAGATGCAGGAGTAAAGATGCTCCTGAAATCGTTTAACAGCGAATCCTCCCGCCCGCCGTCCTCACTACCTGTCTTGACCGAGTAAACAGCAGCCATATTAATATGGGTATACACGCACACGCCCCAAACTGCGTCTCTGTCACCGTGAGAGGAACATTGAAGCTCGGTTAGACCAGGAGACATCCGTGGATGTATTCCTGAAGCTTCTCATACGCAGTTCTAAGCCATTTTCTTTTCGAAGTTCTAAGTAATTCCAACGGAATTCTAAGTAACTCCTCTGCGGTTTATTTAAACGCATAAGTAAGTTCTTTTGGAGGGTTAACTAGCCTACTCTGAGCGATGTGCCCATCGTCACCCCTGGGGAGATCATTGTCACCCTGGGAGATTACTTCATTTGATAATTACAGCCTAGCCTAAGCTAATACATAACACTATATACGATTCTAACAAGCAGAAAATAAGCCTTGTGTAACATCTTATGTACAATTGTTTTGTGTACACAGGTGGGTACAGGAGTAGACATTTTTTATTTATTTATATACAAGAAAGTACATTGAGGGTTAACAGAGAACATAGAAATTAAGTTAATTTTACATTCTTGTAAAGCCACTAGCAAGCATAGCGTTTCGACATTGACTCCTTCTTGCAGGCTTAGAGCTTATTTAAAGACACACCTTACGTGTTTACCTTGGATCACCACCAGTCGATCGGTTTACAACCAGGTGTTGTCTATTCAGCTGGATTTATGTTAACTTAGAATGTACTCCATGATAATATTGGTGAATGATGTCACCTGAGGATAACACCAGCAGTACCAATGCTGAGATGAGCAAATAATTCATCAATGATAAGCCTATACTCTTACCCTAACAATTTCATTTAAATTTATGTTTGTTTTAGAAAGGAAGTAATTTTGTACTGTTTAAACCTTTTGTTCTTTATTATATTTTATTATATATAAAAAATGTGGGGTACTGTTTAATTAGACTTATGGAGGTTATCTGATATTGATACCTTGACCAGAGAGTAATCTATACAAGGTTGTGATAATCAGAACACAACCTTACCTAATTGATTAGCGTCAACGTTAATTAGTCAATATTTGGCTTATACTTCTGGCCACCAACTGACAGCGTGAAGCGCTTAAGCGGTGTAATAACGAATATATTTCCCTCTCAACTATAAATTAATTTAATTTTTTTTTTGGAGGGGGGGATTGTGCATAGATAGGACTAGATAAGGTTATGTAAGGTGCCTTGGTTATGTTCATTTGTGGAGTGATTACAGCTGACTCTTAGGCCATGCTCGTTCAAGTTGCGGATGACCCCAAAGTTTTGTTCAGGAATTTTACAGCCAGTCCTCATCAATAAACGCCAAATGCTCGTTAATCAATCGGCCAAACGCCCTGTTTACCGATCCCACGATCGTCGTCGCCCCTAAATCAACACAACAATGCCCTGTTTATGAATGATAAACGGTTTACACACGACTCACAACTGATGACGTTCAAACATTTCTCGAACAGTGCTTCGCTGACGAGCTCTATTCGAACCACAACGTTGTAAATGCTTTACCCACGTACAATACAAATAATTGTCAACAAAACCTGCACTCTTAACCTAACCTACGCCTAAATATGCACAAATATCCTAAATATATAACAATATTAATTTATATTTGAGAAAATTCCTATGTTAAATTACCAAATAAAACTGATGAATGCAGTTTCAGTTGGAATCGGCTGCTGGATGGAATGAACATAGCCTGACGACGGGATGGTAAATGACGTAAAAGAACACGCTGGTAAAGGAGACTAGGAAGCAAAGATTTACCATGTTGTGTATACTGAAGTTACCCAGGTCACGTGACATCCCTCAGCAGGAACAATCAATTGTGTGAATAATAATGGCAATAACAGTGGCAGCCACTCCTTGCCCTGTGTCCACTCCTGGGGGAACACCTGTGTAGCCAGGGGTATCATACGTGTGTGTGGTGAGGTATTGATACATATGGGGTGAGGTTATGATACATGTTAGATCAATTAAGTTAGTTAGATTAGATACATTTAATATGTGGTGAGACAATAAAATAGATACATTAATATGTGGTGAGACAATAAAATAGATACATTAATATGTGGCGAAACAATAAAATAGATACATTAATATGTGGTGAGACAATAAAATAGATGCATTAATATGTGGTGAGACAATAAAATAGATACATTAATATGTGGCGAAACAATAAAATAGATGCATTAATATGTGGCGAAACAATAAAATAGATGCATTAATATGTGGTGAGACAATAAAATAGATACATTAATATGTGGTGAAACAATAAAATAGATACATTAATATGTGGTGAAACAATAAAATAGATACATTATTTAGAAACATTAAAATAGATACTTTAATTAGATACATTAAAATGGGTACATTAATTAGATGACACTTAATGAAGAAAGACATACATTTGAAGTAAATAAAATTTAAGATAACGGTAAGACCCAAAAATATGAGAAAATCAGTATGAGACATGAGGAGGATTCGAACCCGAACACAATGTTTTTGAGTTTGTTATCTATGTGAACACCAAGGAACCTCCCACCTGCTTTGTTCTTAATTTATATATTTTTTTTAATTCATAGATTAATTTCTTGGACTTGTTACCAAACAATATGTAAAACATTTGGTCGATGTTTTATCGTGGTCTGTTGTATCATCAGTTATTATATCAGAGGTTCATGTAGAGGTTATATTAGTTCATACAAGGTCAAGGGCACAACCTAAGTTGTTTCCTGGCAAGTTGTTACGTGCCATTACTGGCAGTTGTTTCAGTAATTCTGGTGGATTTATTTATCACGGGCAATAATACACAATTGAGGAAGTGGGGCGCTAGGCTGGCGTAAGTCACGATTGAAATATCCAGTAAATATTAGATGATTTTTGTTAAGTTTGTTACTTTTAAGTTTCTAAGATTAGAGTTGAAATCAAATACATCAGTGTCAGGAATTCTGTAGATTGTTCCTAAAGTTAAGTTCGTGTTTAAGCTCTTCATTTTGAACTGGGAAAATATATACTCTCCACAATTGTTTTTAGTTTTGATAACTTTTGAACACAACAGCTCCTTCTGGTAATGAATTGCTGTACCACCACCTCTCTGCTTAGATCTACTGTAGTAGATAGCTGAATAATTGGGGAATATTATATAGTTTGGTCGTTAGAAAGAACTTTTTTCAGTGTCAGAGTAGTTAACAGATGGAATTCACTAGGAGGTGATGTGGTGGAGGCTGACTCCATACACAGTTTCAAATGTAGATATGATAGAGCCCAGTAGGCTCAGGAATCTATACACCAGTTGATTGACAGTTGAGAAGCGGGACCAAAGAGCCAGAGCTCAACCCCCGCAAGCACAACTAGGTGAGTACACACTGGTAGTTACCGTCGGAGATCACATCTGTATGTTTCTGGTTCTTATTCTTGTCTTGAAACAAAGTAAGTTGGATAGCCTAAGTTGCTGAGGCAGCCAAAGCCTCATGTGTTGTGAATTCTTCCAGGGAGAAGCAATTTAATGCACCAGGTACGTGTAGAGATAAGCGAGAGATTATCTAAGTCAAATATAAACTACTTAAAGAGCTCATGTCTATTATTTAGACCGCCAGAGGGTACCGTGGCCTGAACCATACCCAACCCGTTCTAACAGTACTTCATCGTATTGTGACGTATAGTTCCCCTAAGGCTAGAAACTGATGTACTCAAAATGGTCGCGAACTTGATGTGATGTCCCGTTTTGTTGTTTGTGGGTTTTCGGGTAGGTTAGGTTCGGGCACTTTAGAGCAAATAATATATATATATATATATATATATATATATATATATATATATATATATATATATATATATATATATATATATACACACACACACAGATACTACAGGACGACCTGGATAAACTGGATGAATGGTCTAGAAAATGGCTACTGAAGTTCAACTCAGGAACGTGTAAAGTAATGAATTAGCCGAAGGAAGCTGAAAGCCGAACACAAGGAACCATCTGGGAGGTGAAATCCTGCAGGAGACAAATAGAGAGAAAGATCTGGGGGTTGATATCACAGCGAACCTGTCCCCAGAGGCCCACATCAAAAGGACATCACCAGCGGCATATGCTGGACTGGTCAACATAAGAACTGCCTTTAGAAACTTGTGTAAGGAATCGTTCAGGACCTTGTATAGCAGCTATGTCAGACCAATCCTGGAGTATGCAGCCCCAGCCTGGAGTCCATACCTAGTTAAACACAAGACAAAGTTAGAGAAGATTCAGCGGTATGCCTCCAGACTCGTCCCGGAACTGAGAGGTATGTGCTACGAGAAAAGGCTAAAGGAGCTGAACCTCACGTCCCTGGAAGACAGAAGAGTAAGGGGAGACATGATAACCACCTACAAAATTCTCAGGGGAATTGACAGGGTGGACAAAGACAAACTGTTTAGCACGGGTCGGACACGAACAAGGGGACACAGGTGGAAACTGAGTACCCAAATGAGCCACAGAGACATTAGAAAGAATTTTTCAGTGTCAGAGTAGTTAACAAATGGAATACACTAGGCAGTGATGTGGTGGAGGCTGACTCCATACACAGTTTCAAGTGTAGATATGATAGAGCCCAGTAGCTCAGGAATCTGTACACCTGTTGATTGACAGTTGAGAGGCGGGACCAAAGAGCCAAAGCTCAACCCCCGCAAGCACAACTAGGTGAGTACACACTAACTATAGAGGCATCACTCACTTGAGGAAGAGTGGCACCGTGAGTGGCTAGGGCCAGCTGGGGACGGAGGAGAGTGGGCGATGATCGTTCTGGATCGTGTCTGAGGCACCACTACCGTCCACCACCACCACTACGACACCCCACCTGTGTCCCCATCACTACACCTACACCCACCAACCCCAACCTACCTGGACCCCACCACACACCACTGCACCTATACCCAGCCCACCTGTGTATCACCGTGTGTCATCGCACACCACTACTCCTGCACCCACCTCACTTGTGTTCCATCCCACACTACACATTACACCATATCACCACCCGAAAATAAGTCATAATCAACCTATAAGTGTCACAGGGCAAGCTTGACTGCCAGGTTGAATGAGCGAGGAACCTACCTTGCTAATCGGTGACCTTAATGCCAAACACCCACACTCTCCCGCTAGCTGTTAACAACACAATAGTAGTGGACGGAAATCTTGCTCTTGAGTTGGAGAAAATTAACACATCAGTCCGGGTTATTGGGCAACCGACCCATCTCACGAGCTAGAGATTAGATAAAATTTTGCTGAAATCATTCAACCATAGAGCACTGATCTGATAAATGTTCTCTTGTTGAATGCTCAGGATAGGGTTCTTGAGATGATTTCGGGGCTTAACGTCTCCGCGGCCCAGTCCTCTACCAGGCCTCCTTTTTTTTACATATCCCCAGGAAGTAGCCCGTACCAGCTGTCTAACTCCCAGGTATCTATTTACTGGTAGGTGAATAGGACCATCAGGGTGAAAAAACTCTGCCCATTTATTTCCGTCTCCGCCGGGGATCGAACCCGGAACCTTAGTACTACGAATCCCGAGCGCTGTTCACTCACCCGTAAGGCCCTTCGATGCCGATGCGCACATTGTACACAATCTCTGTTTTGACCACTGGGCGCTGCTTGCCACCGTCAACATTAGTCAAAGAGAAACACAAAAGTCAGAGGCTGTCCCACAGAGTTAATGTGAAACATCTATTATTAACATAACATATTAGTACATAAAGCTGGTCACCGAAGAGTTAAAACATACGAGAGTGCTGGAGACGTCCCACTGAAAGAACGACTTGTGTAAAGCTGCATCACGAAGCCAGGACAAGGAGGGTAAAGAGCAAGGAAGACAATGGCTTGACTTCACTGGCACCACTGGAAGAGAAACATTGGTAAAGCAGTGTGGGTAAAAATGCTTGTAGTGAACGGGAAGCAGAACCCGGCCTGCTGGGCACCATAGGTAAAGGCACCAGAATCCATAGGTAAAGCTGAAGAACAAAAACTAAAGCAGAGTGACGCAGCATCCTCCTTCCTCCCTGTAAACTGCTTATTATTATTAACATCTTTATTGACAAAATTAATTACAATTTTGCCTAATCTGAGGATTTCGATTAAGTCTTATTAAAGTGAGGATAATGCTGGTATTCACTGTCACGCAGGACAGAGGGTCATACACAAGACAATAGGTCCAAACTGTAGGGGGAAGTACATATATATCATGGTTACAATCAACCCCCCCCCCCTTCCCTGTAAATTGCAGGCCATTCTGGTGTGTTTGGAGGAAGTACGTCATGACGACAAAGATGTTTTTGTATTTGTCGATAGCCGTTGAGCACTTGATTCCTTAAACAGTCGATCTTCGTGTCCATTGTTGAGGATTGTAAGAAAAGGATAACTGAGATACAGCTGAAAGGTCACAATGTGAAATTCATGTGGATTCCATCTCATGTTGGAATAGTGCTCAACGAGGTGGCGGATGACTTGGCCAAACGTGCCACATCAAAACCACAAGTTGACATCGAATGCGAATTCACAATGAGACAAATAAGAAGCAAAATCAGAAATATTCAGGCACAGGCAGAAGTGGCGAGGAGAGGTATAATGTATGAGGGAAGTCAAACCATGCAACACTACATGTATGTGAGTCAAAACACCCATTTCACTTATGGTAAAATGGTATTCTGGAGAGATATAAGAATTCTGTAATCTTTTGTTGAATTATCTGCGTGTCTCTTGCAAATACAGTATACCTAAGTCATAAAAGTATTTGTGTGTACGTCTGATACCATACTACTTGTGTAAAGGATGAATTGTATGTTTATCTCTCAGAATGTTCGGTAATATGTTTATTGTTTGTGATGTGTGTCTATATATGTATAAACACGTTGTACTGAACGGCGTGAGAATAGTTTGAGCTACCTCATCCCTTTGTGTGTATTTTACCTCAATGAACTTATCTCAATTTCAATTTCCTCCCTGTAGAAATAAGTAGAGAACAGATCCTGCAGTATCTATCTGACAGTCTAATGTTGACGAGTAAGGACACCCAGTCACGGACCGCGAGGTAAGGGGACCACCAGTCACGGACCAGGAGGTACGGGCGCCTATTAAAAAAGTGGGTGTCTGAGAATCCACTACTCCACCTTTCCAATACCTCACATCTGAGTGGAGTGTTGCTCACACAATGAATAAAGAAGTAATTGTCCCTAGACTGAAACCCAAAGACCAGTCTAATTTCAGACCTATTAGTCTCGTATCATACACATGCAAGGTGCTTGAAACGATCGTCTTAAACCACCAGTCACATAAAAAAAAGATGAGGTCAACGGATTTATTCAAAGACGGAGGACAGGAAATTGGATAGTTAATTATTAATGAGACAGCTAAGTACTGTGTGTTTGTTGACATTAAACGAGCATTTGATAAGACAAGGAATTGCGATGCATGGGTGTCAAGAGGAGGCCCTCTGAAATGTACTGACGGGTCAGTTGCGAGTACAATCAATATAGAACTTTGGACCACTCAAGACGGAGTGCAAAGCTCCGCACTACTCAACATCCTAATGAACGCCATTGCTAATATTGCGGATCCGGAAAGAGCATGTAGGTGATATCCTGGAAGGAATCCCGCCGTTGGAATGATGAGACAGTCCATTCAACTCCTGGAAAGGAAATGGGTTGAACTCTTTCACTTTCCGTAAATAAAACGAAAGCATACACTCGTCACTAGAGAGAAAGACCTGAACATTCCTGGAAAAACTCTCGCATGGGTCGGCCGCTATCTCTACCTTAGGATTATTGTCGGTTCGAAGCAAGGGAAGTCAAGAGAAGTTTGATCCAGACGTGCAAAAGTCGTCTCAGGATCCTGAGAGCTGTCCTGAAATGGCCATGGGGCTTCCGTTGTGCTTGAAAGGACGGCTGCCTCACGTACTCTGCGTCATACACTAGGCTGCCTCACATACTCTGCGTCATACACTAGGCTGCCTCACATACTCTGCGTCATACACTAGGCTGCCTCAGTCTTCTACGTGTACTCGTCAAGCCACATGAAATGACTTGAAAGCATGCAGCTTGAATCCATGGCAATTATTCTTGGAGACCCAAAAACCCGCCAAAATATCAAATCTACGACAAGAGCTGTTAAAAAACGGTCTAGGAAATAGGCTTTGGCAAAGAATGCCACTATAATGATTTCTCTAAGCTGAAACACGGAGTTGTGTTAAGTACAAGAAAGAGGAATAGCAGAAAGTAGCAACAATTATCAGTGTGTAGGGCTCTCACCTCCCTGGCAGGATGACCAGTGTAATATAATACACGAGATCACAACAACATTATGTATATACAACAGTTTCTAAATATTGACAATAGTTTCTAATTGAATGCATCACTTTCTAAATGTGTGCATCTGTTTCTAAATATATTCAACAGTTTCTAAATGAAACGATCTCTAAATAAATTCAATACTCTCTAAATGAATACAACAGTCTTTAAATGAATACTAAAGTCTCTAGATGAATATAACAATTTCTAGATGAATACAACAATCTCTAAATTAATGCAAGTTTCTAAATTAAATACATCAATCTTTAATTCAACACTGAATGAATATATCAGTCTCTAAATGAATACAACAATCTATAAATGAATACAACGATCTATAAATGAATACAACGATCTCGAAATGATTGCAATAGTCAGTCTCTAAGTAAATAAAACAGTTTCTAAACGAATACAATACTCATCTTGCCAGTCTTGCAAGAACCAGTAAAAGATTTGAGGCCTAATTGTTAGTGTTTCAATCATCTATTGTGGTTTGTGAACGCTTTGGGGCCTAATTGTTATTGTTTCAGTCATCTATTGTGGTTTGTGAACGCTTTGGGGCGTAATTGTTATCGTTTCAGTCATCTATTGTGGTTTGTCTAATGGCCACAGGAGATTTTAGTAATGGTAACACTTGTGTGAAGACTATCTGGGGGTACACTAATGTGAGTAATCAAGCGTGACCTTTTGGTCATTTATATTATTTGCCATTCTTTCACCGCACTTTTATTCATGTGCAATTGATGTTCTCAGGCGGATTTGTAATATTGAAGGTTTTTTAATGATGAACAGTAAAGAAGTGTATGATGTTATACTGCCAAATATAGTTCCTAGAGTAGAGGAGGCATATCCACTCTTTAGATGACAAGTAATTTGGGCAAACCTTCATGTTAAAGTTATTGCCCCAAAACAACGTGAGCTATTATATCGCTATATTCATGAGACCCTCCCTACTAATGATAGGTTGTTGATGTTGGGCATTAGGTTTCATATTGACATAAAATGCAAGAAAATTAGGAATACAATAATTGTGTTACTTTCTGATTACATTTTTTGTGTGTGGATAGGCAGGCAGGAAGGTTACTCAGTAGACAAAATATTGAAATTCTTGCGAGGCAGGATCAGGTATAACATTTGGGGTTTAAGGCTCATGCTCGGTGATGATATGGAAAATTTTTTACTGAGAATTATATAAAATATATATAAATGTAATAATTTCCCCTGTATTTTAATGTAAATTTATTCTCCAATTTTTGTAAATCGTTTATAGGTAAATAAATATAACATTCAGTTTTTTTTTAAAGATCTTGTTCTGTACTACTGAAACACTTGTTCACTAAGAATTGTAATGTATAATTGCCTTGTAAAACTTATGTATATGTAATTTATATTGTATTTTCTTAAATAAAGATAATTTTTTATATATTATTTGGCGTGTAATGCATGTGTGTCTGTTGGCTGGCGATCACACAGCCTGGAAGTAGGTGCGGGAGATGCTGTACGAGACACCCGTGTTATTGTTAAGTAGCAAGCTGGACAGGAAAGGTCTCATCTTATACCAAGGTCATTGGGACACGCTGTCAGGCTTCGCTCTTCCTACCCGCATCCTAATACACACACACAGTCAACCCGGTAGGAAAGGTGGAGTTGAAGAGCTAAAGCTCGAGCCTGCAGGCACAAATAGGTGAGTACATACACCCGTCGGCTGGCAATTGAGGATCGCAGGTTCCATCCCAGCGGCAGGACAGAAGCATTTGAGCAATGTTCCTCTTTCACCTTATGCCTATGTTCACCTAGCAGTAACTGGGAAGTTAGACGACTGTCGTGGGTTGCATCCTGGGGGAAGGTCAGTAGTTGGCCAAGACAGAGGTAGAGAAGTATAGGCAAGAATTTCTTGCACATGCCATATATTGCTCCTGGGAGTATGAGTTCGAGTCACTTCTGGGGTGTGAGTTTTCAGTCGCATATAGTCCTGGGGGACCATTCAGGCTTGTTCGCATATATGTATATATATGGCATGTGCAAGAAATTCTTGCCTATACTTCTAGCCGGAAACACTCCACATTGTCGTCTTCAAGGGCAGGAGTCCATGGTGGAGACTAGCCTAGTGATTGATTGATGAAGATTAGCCACCCAAAAGGTGGCACGGGCATGAATAGCCCGTAAGTAGTGGCCCTTTGGAGCCATTACCAGTATCATTAGCTGATACAAGAGATCTGTGGAGGTGCGACTGCACCCTACGGAGCGGTCGTGACCTCTCGTAGCCTAGTGTGCAGGACGCAACATATAAATACACGATGGCTCGGGTCTCTTCCCCTAGGCTGAGTGCATCAAAACAAGTACGAGGCTTCAGGCGTGCAGCTGCCCATTGTGGAGCTTCTTTTTTCGTTATCTTTATTAAATAATATACAATATAAATCATATATACATAAATTTTACAAGGAAATACTATGTTGCGGTGATGACGTATTGCAGTGAGCACGTGTTGTGATGACCACGCTGCGGTGACCACGTGTTGCGGTGACCACGTGTTGCGGTGACCACGTGTTGTGATGACCACGTGTTGCGGTGACCACGTGTTGTGGTGACCACGTGTTGTGGTGACCACGTGTTCAGAAGTTATCGCACAAATGTGACTGGGTATGTTGTACCCAGTAGAGTAATGAGGTTATCAGCTGAGAGGCTCAGTGTCATCCCAACGCTGGTCCAGTGCACTCTTGGCCCCCCTAACGTCCCACTAGTGTCCCACTGCTGTTCCCCACGTGTCCCCCTAGCGTCCCACTGCTGTCTCCCAAGTGACCTACCAGTGTCCTAGCACTAATGTCCTAACATACTAGTAGTAAACTCTGTGTAAAGTGCGTCAAAACACTCAAGTAAGTGATCCTAAGCACTTTGTCATGTGACTTAAGGACGGTTCGTAACTGAGTAAAGTTACGTTACCATGATACCTTCGTTTTCCCCTCTGTCAGGCAACTCTTAATGTGTCCCTCCTCCGTCAGGCAACTCTTAATGTGTCCCTCCTCCGTCAGGCAACTCTTAATGTGTCCCTCCTCCGTCAGGCAACTCTTAATGTGTCCCTGCTCAGTCAGGCAACTCTTAATGTGTCCCTCCTCCGTCAGGTAATTCTTAATGTGTCCCTCCTCCGTCAGGCAACCCTTAATGTGTCCCCTCCTCCGTCAGGCAACTCTTAATGTGTCCCCTCCTCCGTCAGGCAACTCTTAATGTGTCCCCTCCTCCGTCAGGCAACTCTTAATGTGTCCCTCGTCCGTCAGGCAACTCTTAATGTGTCCCTCGTCCGTCAGGCAACTCTTAATGTGTCCCTCCTCCATCAGGCAACTCTTAATGTGTCCCTCGTCCGTCAGGCAACTCTTAATGTGTCCCTCCTCCGTCAGGCAACTCTTAATGTGTCCCCTCCTCCGTCAGGCAACTCTTAATGAGTCCCCTCCTCCGGCAGCAAGTTCCTAATGTGTGTTATCCACGTCTAGTGTGTCACCGCCGTCTGGCAACACTTGGTAGTCTTCCCTCCGTCAGGCTGCTCCTTGTTGGTCCCTCCACTTATCAGGCAATTCCTGGCGTGTCTCCCTCCCTCCTGAGTTAATGTGTATCACATAACATGAGAGACACAAACAACCCGTCCAACGCCCTTGTCTCCTCCTGCAGGGTGTTCCTCCACAGACAGGATGAGTACCAGCAGGTTTGATGACCTGCTCACACAGCTGGGCACCGGCAAGTGGAACGTTCTCTATTTCCTCACCTCCTCCTATTGTGAGTAAGACCTCTCTTGGTCAGCACCTTCGTCTGCTAGCCTAGCACGAATTGTCTAGCCTAGCCTAACCTAACCTAGCCTAGCCTAGCCTAACTTTGCCTAACCTAGTAGACTAACCAAACTTAGCTTAATCTAACCTAACCCCACTTGGTTGACACCCATTAAAGCAGCCCGTCCTCCTAAGGTTTCCCAACGTCAAGAAACTGTCGTCCTAAAGTGTCCTTATCCTAACCTACCAGAGGACTCAAAACAAAAAACGGGACAGTATGTCACTTTCAAGAGTCGCTAATACTTTCTAGTACGACAATTCTTGGCCTTAGGTAGATTATACGTCTAAATGCGACTTTCTATTAGGACGGGTTAACTAAAGACCTTTGCGCTAACTATACGCGGGAATTGTTGACCGATCAGCAGAGTTTTCAACTTTAATAAAAGATCTGATTTTACATTGAATGCGGCATATTAAATATAACGTCTTCAAGTTCAAGTTCAAGTATGTTTATTGAGACAAGAAAAAAATACATCTCAAAGGGATAGAGTAGTTTAGGCTATTTCTACCCCCCCCCCCTCATATAACGTCTTATGTTTTGTATTATATAACGTATTATGCTACATAATATTATGTAACGTATTATGTTGTAATGTGAAATGACGATGGTTGTAAAGCGTATGTCAATAGGTTATTTTTTTATCTTTATTTAAAAAAGTACAATATAAATCATATATACATAAATTTTACAAGGCAATACAGTACTACATTACATATACAGTAGTATAATTCTCAGTAAACAAGTGTTTCATTATCACAGAACGTGAACTTTAAGCCCCTAAATGTTATACTTATTTTTCTTGAAATGATTTACAATATTGGAGATTATATTTACATTAATTTACAGGGGAAATTATTACATTTATATATATTTTATATAATTCTCAGTAAACAAATTTTCCATATCAGCGAACATGAGCCGTAAACCCCAAATGTTATACTTGATCCTGCCTCGCAAGAACTTCAATATTCTGTCTACTGAGTAACCTTCCTGCCTGCCTATCCACACACAAAAAATGTAAACAGAAAGTAACATAATTATTGTATTCTTAATTTTCTTGCATTTTATGTCAATATGAAATATTAAAAACCTCATTAACTCCACTAATACTTGGTCCACATAAAGCTTTAAGAGTGTCTCTAATCCAGTTTACAAGAACAACTTTCTGCTTACAGAAATAAAAAATATGCATATTCTCAATTTCAGTATATTGGTCACACCTATTGTTGTCCTTAATGCCCAACATCAACAACCTATCATTAGTAGGGAGGGTCTCATGAATATAGCGATATAATAGCTCACGTTATTTTGGGGCAATAAATTTAACATGAAGGTTTGCCCATATTACTTGCCAGCTAAAGAGTGGATATGCCTCCTGTACTCTAGGAACTATATTTGGTAGTATAACATCATACACTTCTTTACTGTTCATCATTAAAAAACCTTCAATATTACAAGTCCGCCTGAGAACATCAATTGCACATGAATAAAAGTGCGGTGAAATAAAGGCCAGGTCAGTGTACTCTGGCATATGTATCAAGTAGCTAACACGTAATTTACAAAAGTAATGTCCTAGCGTATTTACACTATTCCTCTGCATTATCTCCTTTCTAAGGGTAATACATAAGATTGATTCAGTATTCCTATTCCACCGTTTTTCTTACCTTTACATAGAGTAGTCCGTTTAATTGGTTGGTATCTACCATACTCCTATTAACAGGCTGAGAGCTTCAAGTTCAAGTTCAAGTATGTTTATTGAGACAAGAAAGAAATACATCTCAAAGGGATAGAGTAGCTTAGGCTATTTCTACCCCCCCCCCCAAGCTGAGAGCTTTCCCTTCCCATAGCTCACGGTAAGCCTTACCCGCTAGTTTCCTTGGAACACGACCCGTCAATCGTTTAACAACCACCTACCCAGTTACTGCTGGGTGAACAGAGGCGTACAATTAAGGATTGGCGCCTAGTCAATCCTCCCCAGCCAGGATACGAACCCAGGCCAAATCACTCGCGAAGCGTGGGCAGTTTTTTTTCTGCCTCAGACGTGGCCACACATTTACAATGGTAACCTACATATATACATTTTCTACTGTCCTCCATGGTCAGGGTTAGATATCTAGTGAACATATCTAACCTTCATGCATGAATGCACAGATATACGCCTCTCCTATATAAACAGTGTTGGAGGTACGCTGTTTACAGTGTCATTAATGTGTGTTGACACTACGCCACGGCCACTTTTGTGCACTGTATATAACAAAAAAATCAACAAATATTAAGAGATAATTTAGAGATGAGTAGTATGTGTTCAAGAACGCTAAATTATTCATTTGGGGGAAGATTTATGTCGGGACGTTGAACTGTATCGTTTATGGAGGTGATGACGTCACGGTTAACTGACTTGGATGACCAACGGCAATCTTTGTGTCTCAACAAGGCATCAATAAATATAGAGTGAGGCTTTAGTTAAACTCATTTCATTATTTAAGTTATGTGTTATAACTCTTGTGCTTGGAAATATAGATCTATGACATAGAATATAAACTAATTATAGTTGGTCTGATTATATTTTTAAAACACTTTGATTTGACCTCACTTCACCGTGAACTGGTAGTTAACACGTGCTTGTTTTCCTATGAGCTGACCCCACAGAAGGGGCACACGCCATATCCCATTTCTCGGCATATACACTGAGAATACAGTACACTGTAGTCCTGAGGAATAGAGTATCCTTGGTGGTTGGTCAGCAAGCCAGTGTGGTGGCCGTAATAAGCTTGTAGATGTTAGTAGACTTTAACCCTCAATACCAAACCAGATTCGTGAGGGACAAGAGTGCTTGCGTTTAGTGAGACTCACTGTGAATATCTGCCGCGAACACCTCCCATCCTAATGCTTGCATCCAAGCATGTTCTGCTTGCATCCAAGCATGTTCTGCTTGCATCCAAGCATGTTCTGCTTGCATCCAAGCATGTTCTGCTTGCATCCAAGCATTTCTGCTTGCATCCAAGCATGTTCTGCTTGCATCCAAGCATGTTCTGCTTGCAACTCCTGCGTCTACATGCAATGGGGGCACGTTGGGGGTTGAACATGTCCTTACAGTTGAACATTTACAGCCTCTTCTGTTGAGGCTACTGAACACGACGTAGGAGGCAAGATGACGCGGTAATCAACAGTCGCTTAATGCGCATTAGTTGAAAAGAAACGTGCCTAACCATTTCCATCCTACCGGGAGGCAAACTCGGGATCCCCGACTGTGAGTCGAGAAAGAAGCTCTAGTACCTTTTGCTATTATAGATGGAATGTACAGAATATAGACTTGTTGTGTCCATGTTTTATTTGTAAATTGTAATGACCACAACAAATTCTAAAACAGCCTAGCCTTTAAACCATGCTTTTCTATGTCTATATACGCAATTCTTGGCCTAACGTGCGCAATATTTGGCCATATCTTGTACGTATATGTACTCTACTAAGTCGAGCAAAAGGTTGGTTTGAGGGTTGTCCTCTTTCTCAGATCCTCTGCTGAAATTAATAGTACACAATGTTGACTATTTTGCGCAATAGTACATGTTTCGTACTACCAGCCATAGTAAGTGTGAATACAATAATTTGTACTACCATCTATAGTAAGTAAAGATACTTATAAGATAAAGATACTATCACTTATACTACCATTTACGGTCTTTATCATTTTTGGATGAAAGCTTAGTAGTAGTGTACTTATTATTGCCTTAGCAGGCAATAATAAGAGGCGTGAGGCCACAGTTCTGTACAGGGAGCGACTTTGGTCCATTCGTACACTAAAGTATTTCACACACGGATCTCGTTTTCTAATTGCTGTTGTTGTTGTTGTTTTAGATTCAGCTACTCAGAAGATAAAGTTCCAAGTTGCACGGGCTATGGTGAGCCCGTAGTGGACTTACCTGGCACAGGAGCGGAGCTGTAGTTCTAATTATGCAATGATACATACAATAAAATTGTATGTATCATTAGGTTATGCTAACTGTACATACCATGAATCATCAAGCATTAACGTGTTCACCCACGAAACCTGTACATCTTACCACAATCGTGATTGTTGAAAGATATATATAGGTTTCGCAAGTGGATGCGTAATATGCGATGATGGTTCGTGGTGCAGGAGTTGTGAGTAGTGGTGTCTCCCGCAGGGTGTTTGCTGGTCCCTCCGCAGTTTATCAGTGGCGTGTATCTGGCGCCGACACTCAACTACACCTGCCGCCCTCCGCTCGGCCATGACCTTGATGTAGCGCGGTGAGTAGTTGAGTAACGCGGTGAGTAGTTGAGTAACGCGGTGAGTAGTTGAGTACCCTTTGTTGCTGCACACACATACACACAGGGGCTGGTGGCTGGGTGGATAGCGCTCGGGATTTGTAGTCCTAAGGGTCAGGGTTCGATCACCGGCGCCGGCGGAAACAAATGGGCAGAGTTTCTTTCACCCCTAATGCCTCTGTTACCTAGCAGTAAATAGGTATATGGGAGTTAGACATCTGCTACGGGCTGCTTCCTGAGTGTGTGTGTGTGTGTGTGTGAAAAAAAATCTGTTGATGGATTGATAGTTGAGAGGCTGGCCGAAAGAGCCAGAGCTCAACCCCCGCAAGCACAACTAGGTGAGTACATCTAGGTGACTACACACGCATACACACATCTTTATAAACAAACATTTGTTACACACATTTGCAAACAAACACCAACATGGATGGGTTCAGGGAAAGGAAATCATGCCTAACAAGCCTTCTGGAATTCTATGATAAAATAACAAGAATAAGGCAGGACAGAGAAGGATGGGCAGACTGCATATTTCTGGACTGCCAAAAAGCCTTTGATGCAGTACCGCACATGAGACTGTTATTCAAACTTAAGAGGCAGGCGGGAGTAAGCAGAAAGGCCCTAGCATGGGTAAGGAACTACCTAACAGGAAGGAACCAGAGAGTAACGGTAAGGGGCGAGAAGTCAGATTGGCGAACAGTAACGAGTGGAGTACCTCAAGGATCGGTGCTGGGACCAATTCTATTTCTAATATAGGTAAATTACATGGTTACAGGAGTAGAGTCCTACATGTCAATGTTCGCGAATGTCGCAAAATTAATGAGAAGAGTTGTGACAGATGAGGATTGTAGGATCCTCCAAGAGGACTTGAACAGGTTGCAGAGATGGTCAGAGAAATGGCTACTGGAGTTCCAACACGAACAAATGTAAAGTTATGGAAATGGGGTTAGGTGATAGGAGACCAAAGGGACAGTACACAATGTAGGGAAACTACCTGCCTGTGACGATTCGAGAAAGAGACCTGGGAGTGGACGTAACACCTAATCCAACTCCTGAGGCACATATAAATAGGATAATGACAGAAGCGTACTCTACACTGGCAAAAATTAGAACATTCAGTAACCTAGGTAAGGAGGCATTTAGGGCGCTTTACACTGCCTACGTGAGACCAGTCTTGGAGTATGCCGCCCCATCATGGAGTCCCCATCTGAAGAAACACATAAGGAAACTGGAAAAGGTTCAGAAGTTTGCGACGAGGCTCGTCCCAGAGTTACGAGGGATGGAATATGAAGAGCGCCTGAAGGAACTGAACCCGACTCGAAAAAAGAAGGGATAGGGGGGATATGATAGGAACCAATAAAATACTCAGTTGGATTGACAGAGTGGAAATAAACGAAATGTTCACACGTAATAGTAGCAGAACAAGGGGACATGGGTGGAAGCTGGAAACTCAGATGAGTCACAGAGATGTTAGGAAGTTTTCTTTTGGCGTGAGAGTAGTGGGAAAATGGAATGCACTTCAGGAGCAGGTTGTGGAAGCAAACTTTATTCATAATTTTAAAACTAGATATGATAGGGAAATAGGATAGGAGTCATTACTCTAAACAATTGATAGCTAGAAAGGCGGGAGCCAAGAGTCAATGCTCGATCCTGCAGGCACAAATAGGTGAGTACACACACACACACACCCGGCTGAGACAAACAAATTAATAGTTTCCTTCACCTGATGCATCTGCTCACCTAGCTGTAAATAAGTACACGAGATACAGCTGCTACGGGCTGCTTCCTGGGAATGTGTGTGTGTGTTTACTATTTGTATCTGCAGAATCAAGCTATTAGCCTTTCTAACCAATTTATTTTTCTTCTATTATGTCTACTACATATATTTCTCTTACACACACACACCCAGGAAGCATCCCGTAGCAGCTGTCTAACTCCCAGGTACCTATTTACTGCTAAGTGAACAGGAGCACCAGGATGAAAGAAACTCTGCCCATTTGTCTCTGCCACTGCCGGGGATGGAACCCGAGCCCTTAAGACTACGACCTCAGAGCGTTGTCCACTCAGCCTCGAAGCCCCGCAGGTGTGTGTGTGTTTGTGTTAGAAAGAAATATATATAATAGACATAATAGAGGAAAAAATAGTCTAAAAGCTCATAGCTCGATTCTGTAGGCACAAATAGTAAATATACACACACAGCTGACTCCTCTTCCCCCCCGGCAGAGACTCCTGCAGCTACACGGTCAACAGGTCGTCCTCGGGGGCGCTGGAGGAGGAGCCATGCACCGAGTGGGACTTTGATACATCCGTCTTCTCCAACACCCTCACCTCTGAGGTACACCTTCAGTACCACCCTCACCTCTGAGGTACACCTTCAGTACCACCCTCACCTCTGAGGTACACCTTCAGTACCACCCTCACCTCTGAGGTACACCTTCAGTACCACCCTCACCTCTGAGGTACACCTTCAGTACCACCCTCACCTCTGAGGTACACCTTCAGTACCACCCTCACCTCTGAGGTACACCTTCAGTACCACCCTCACCTCTGAGGTACACCTTCAGTACCACCCTCACCTCTGAGGTACACCTTCTGTACCACCCTCACCTCTGAGGTACACCTTTTGTACCACCCTCACCTCTGAGGTACACCTTCAGTACCACCCTCACCTCTGAGGTACACCTTCAGTACCACCCTCACCTCTGAGGTACACCTTCAGTACCACCCTCACCTCTGAGGTACACCTTTTGTACCACCCTCACCTCTGAGGTACACCTTCAGTACCACCCTCACCTCTGAGGTACACCTTCTGTACCACCCTCACCTCTGAGGTACACCTCCAGTACCACCCTCACCTCTGAGGTACACCTTCTGTACCACCCTCACCTCTGAGGTACACCTTCAGTACCACCCTCACCTCTGAGGTACACCTTCTGTACCACCCTCACCTCTGAGGTACACCTTTTGTACCACCCTCACCTCTGAGGTACACCTTCAGTACCACCCTCACCTCTGAGGTACACCTTCAGTACCACCCTCACCTCTGAGGTACACCTTCAGTACCACCCTCACCTCTGAGGTACACCTTCTGTACCACCCTCACCTCTGAGGTACACCTTTTGTACCACCCTCACCTCTGAGGTACACCTTCAGTACCACCCTCACCTCTGAGGTACACCTTCAGTACCACCCTCACCTCTGAGGTACACCTTCAGTACCACCCTCACCTCTGAGGTACACCTTTTGTACCACCCTCACCTCTGAGGTACACCTTTTGTACCACCCTCACCTCTGAGGTACACCTTCAGTACCACCCTCACCTCTGAGGTACACCTTCAGTACCACCCTCACCTCTGAGGTACACCTTTTGTACCACCCTCACCTCTGAGGTACACCTGTACCACTCTGACTTCCGAGGTACTGTACTAACTTAAATGTTAGTACAGTACCATCAGTAGTTCAGTGCAATGACTTTTCAATCGTTTTTCTTAGGATATTTGCATTTAAAACTTAATATCATTTGGCCTCGACAATTCTTCACCAGGTCTGTTTCACACATTTACGAATCTTAGATTCACGAAGTATGTTGACCAATCCACACACTAGAAAATGAAGGGACGACGACGTTTCGGTCCGTCCCGGACCATTCTCAAGTCGATAGTAACGTCGATTCTCACCAATCGACTTGAGAATGGTCCAGGACGGTCCGAAACGTCGTTGTCCCTTCATTTTCTTGTGTGTGGATTGGTCAACATACTTCAGCCACGTTATTGTGACTCATAGCCTACATTAGATTGACGAAGTGCCTTCTAGCTTCTCCGTGACATTTGTTTCAAGTATAATGTCCCCTCGTTAAATGAACAAATCCACAAGGGCCGTGACGAGGGTTCGAACCTACGCCCGAGAGGATCCCAGACGCGCCTTAATCGACTGAGTTATGACATGGTATAAGAATTGCAACCGGGAAATCAACTTGACCTACCACGGATCCTGCAGTCTCTCCGAGACACAAAGCAGGGTTTTACACAATTACAATACCCCCATGCACCCGAGCTCTGCCAATAAGCCTTACTTCATTACACACAGAAATCACAATAGGCGCCTTGTGGATTTGTTTATTTGATGCATCACGCCATGGTGATTTCTGTGTGAAATGTTCCCCTCGTTCTTCTGTTAATTAATTTGAACACTACTTATCTAGCTACTTTTTTAACATCTCTTAGAATGTTGCACATCATTATCATGTCTGCCCCATTTCCTTCTTCCAGTGTGGCGAGGCCCAGTTCCATCCATCAGTCTTTCTTCGTAGATCAGGCCCCTCAATTCCGGGACGAGCCATATTGCATATGTTTTGTGTGTTTTTATAGTTAGGGTCTCATACCAAGGTTGAGCACTATTCCAACATGAGATGGAATCCACATGAATTTCACACTATAACCTTTCAGCTGTATCTCAGTTATTCTTCTCTTACAGTCCTCCACTATAGACATGAAGACTGGGTTTCGACTGTTTAAGGACTCCAGTGCTCCTCGGCTATCGACAAATACAAAAACATTTTTGTCGTCATGACGTCCAAACACGCCAGAATGGCCTGCAGTTCAGCTTGTGTGGATGATATATAATTACTAAGCCGGAGTTCAATTATCCTGTCCACAGTCCCAAACTCCGTATAATCCCTTATTAGGACACCACACCCTGCCCTGCCATCTTCCGCCACCGACCCGTCGCAATATACATGTAAACTGTTGCCTCTTGGTAACCGAGATATCATGCTTCCATACAAACACCGTAATTGTCCCGGTTCATGATGAATCTTTTTCACCTTGAGGGGTACAATTTCGACGTCTATTTTCTGTACTTTCCAGGGAGCAGACATATTACACTGTCGAGAGGGTTTACAGCAGTCAAGTACGTCGTATTCCCTGAGGTCATGAGCTAATCCTCTCGTATAGCGTGTCTCCCTCAGTTTCCCGGAAGTGTGTACGTCACTCAAGCAGGTCTGAACGCTCTCAAACAGCTTATCCCCTCCTTTTCTCCGCATGAAACGAATAGATACTCTAGTGTTAATGTCACAGACTCTATCACACACACTCTGTAAATTTAATTCCATTCTCATTATTTCAATCATTGCATTTCTTTGACATCCAAGAATAATCCTCATAGCCTCGTTCTGTGTGGGAACCGACCTGTGAGATTTATATTTGTTTAATTTATATGAATTTATATTTACGTTAATTTATATACTTCGATAGCAATTTGTATAATGATAAGTGGACTGTATTTCTGCAATAATCTCAATCTCACAAATCGATCCTCTACACATTAAGGGGGGTTTATTAGTTTATATATATGCAGCCAATCAAACTACAGTAACTACATACATTGAAGAGGTTCCTTATCTTATAGTACAGCAGGTTAGTCCACCAGGTATAACTAGGGTGTAGACACCAAATTATCCTCTTTGAGGTAGCTTCCATATCACCCAGTAACTGGTGCACATAATCTTGCATCCTCGTCTTGACCTGTCAAAAGTGCGCTAGCTGTGAAGCCAGAATCCTATATATGACAAGCTATATCAGAGAAAACACTATACAGTACATGGAACATTAAAGACCTGGCTTAATTACCTTTAGTTTGAGGCGATTTCGCGATCTAACCGGCTAACCCTATATCCTGACATTAATGGCCATAAATGAATGATAAACGGGTTTCGGATAGACACTTAACTTGAATTTGTAGACAGCGTGTTGACAATGGTACACCTTTGGGTTCCATAACACTACGTCCAAGTAAATTTAACAGGAGCCGAATTTGCTCCCGTGTGAGCCTCTGGTCTCAATATAAACAATGTCTGCCCTCCTTCCTCCACTGACACCTGGCCTACTTTGTCCAGATTTCAGAAAGTGAAAGAAGGGTCACATTTACTCTACTTTAATATTGATAATTAAGTTAATTTATATAAGATGTTTTTATGATGGTAAAGTCCAAAGACTAATGTATTTAAGAATAATTCCCAGCAGAATAGCTGGTGAATTATAATAGTATGTGGTGATGATATCCCGTTTTCTTTAGACGGTAATTCCACTACAAGTTACGTTTTCTATGGGTAACTTGTTGGTAATACAGCAGCACTTATTATCTGTCTGTATATTATTAAATGGTGTCGGATTTTCCGACATAATTCCCCAGGGGGCTGCTCACGGGTCGAAGTCCTAATTAGAACAGACGAACACCGATACTCCTCCTTCGAATTATTAGATTAATTTGATGTTAGTAGTTAGTAATCACACATTTGTGTGTCTGTTCGTACAGGACGGATGTCCCGTACTAGAGTTGTAGGGGTTAGAAGTCTAATGCGATTTCATTTCCCTGTCAACTCTTGAAAGGCTAATATTCAAGCCTTATTACATATTATTTAACCCAGAAGACTGGATGTGATCAAGTACTACAGTCAAGTATGATTCAGGGACTGCAGTGAGATCAGTGACCTTAGATATAACTTGAAGTTTCTTCAGGTAACTGGTCACTGATATATAAACACTGAGGCCCATGGAATACATCTTGATTAAATAATAAATGTATCAAATCAGTCATCAGATTTATTAGGGTTTAATTTAGTTAATTGATTCAGAAGATTGAATAGCTCATCATTAAAGTAAAGTATGGTTCTGAGACTGCAGTGGGTTCAGTGACATTGGTCGTAGTGACTTGTAGCTGTTAGGCTACTGTTCACTGATTTGCCACTGAGGCCTCATGAACTCATCTTCAGCTTCAAATGATGATACTAACATCAACCTCTGTTGGTATAGTCAGCTGTAATCTCCTTAGTATAATGCTACTGGAGAAATATAATCAGCTGACAAATTTAGATTTCTACTGTTATTGTTTATCTGCAGGCATAGGTCTCCTCAGGCTTGATACTGGGCCTGAGAGTAATTTACCTCCTGCAGTGTTTAACATGGTTATGCCCTGATATTTAGTAGGGCTACCAATGAATTGATGGTAGTAGTCTGTCCCCACAAGGACAGCCATTTGGCATTTGATTTGCTCAAATTTACCTGCAGCTGCTTGATAATAGCTTTCCAGGTCAGCATAATCAACTGTTGATTGTTGTGACAAATCTTCACATTTCTTGATCTGTCTTGTTAAGTGGTCTTTAAGACCTGCAAGGGTTCTTTTCATTCTCCCTGCATTATCCATACTGGCTCGTTGGTGAAGCCTTGTGGGGCTTGTACTTGGGCTGCTCATAATACTGAACAAACTCTAATGGTAGCCTAGGGTAAATTCTGAACTCACTAGGCAATAATCCTACCTCTACTAGAGGTTAGCACTTAA